ATATATTTTCTATTCGAGCCACTGGTGTTGTTAATTATACTGTAATAATAATAATAATTATAATATTAAAGATTTTTTATATAGCGCACATCTCCACCCAAAAATTGGGTTCTGAAGGTTTACTGTCATTTAAAAAAATATCATTCTTTTTTTTTTTTACCATACGGTTTCTTTTCATCCTATCTTTCCTTACAATTTCATCCTATCATTTCTTTCTTAGTCTGCTTTTTTTAAAAATTTCATCTGATAATATATCAGTGCTTATTTTTTGGTCTTTCCTTCTTCTTTTTTTAAACTTTCCTTGTGTTTCCTTTTCTTTCCACAGTAAAAACTGTCTGTTAAAGAAGCCAGTGTAATTCATTCAGTGTCGGTTATATGTATTTTAACGATTTTGTGAATACTCATGCGGCCATCTTTTGAATTAATTGAAGCATATTTATATGTTTCTGTGGAAGTAATGAGTCTTCTTTGTCAAGACAATAGGTAACTAATGAGTTAACCTATCGATGAAGATGATATAAGTAGGGTCATCTTGGCTTCCACTAACAAGTCTTGTGATCTGGATCCTTTACCAGAATCTCTTTTAAAAGACGTCTTGAGTTCTCTTCTGCCAACTATTACAAGAATCGCAAAACTCAGTTTTGAAAAAGGTATTTTCCCATCACCATTAAAGATTGCATCTGTCTCACCAATTCTGAAGAGAAACACACTTGACTCTGAGGTTTTCAGTAATTACCGACCGGTTTCCAATATTCCATATCTCTCAAAGATTCTTGAACATATAGCATGCTCACAACTTCAAACCTATTTACATAGAAACAATTTGATTCCTACATATCAATCTGCTTATCGACCTCATTACAGTACAGAAACTGCTCTGCTGAAAGTAAAAAATGACATCATGCTGTCTCTTGATAATCGAAGAGAACTCCTGCTTTTTTAACTGGACTTTTCTTTGGCCTTTGATACTGTGAACCATCAACATCTGTTAAATCGATTAGACATAGACTATGGTATTAAAGGAACTGTTTTAAGCTGGCTGTCATCATATCTTTTTGGACGTCAGCATGTCTCAGGGGTCTTCATCTTCACAGTCAGTATTGTTATACGGTGTCCCCCAGGGTTCCGTTGCTGGCCCTCTTCTCTTCTAATTCTATACTGCACCCATCATCAATATTGCTCCTGCACATGGTGTCAAATGCATTGTTTATGCTGATGATGCTCAGCTTTATGTAGATTATGAACCGTCTAAAATCAACGCCAGATTGCAGCAGATAACCAAATGTTTTCAAGCCATTCAAACATGGTCTCATGAAAACAGTTTGTTCCTTAATAACCACAAAACTCAATTTATGCATATATTGTCCAAATTTAGCTCATCTAAACCTGTTGAAAATGTTACCCTGGGAAACTCCACTATTGAAGCTTCAAAATATGTTAAAATTCTTGGTGTTACATTTGATCAGTTTATGCTTATGTCACAACAAGTTGACTCAGTCTGTCAGGCCTCTCAAATAGCTATAAGAAAAATAAGTTCCATAAAGACAATATATTGATAATGCGAATACTGAAAAACTTGTACACGCATTTGTTTCTTCTAGATTTAGACTATTGCAATAGTCTATTATACGGCATTCCAAAATCAGAGACTAACAAATTTCAACGAATTCAGAATACAGCTGCCAGATTTATTACAAAAACTAAAAGACACGAGCTCATAACACCCATCCTCAATAAGCTCCATTGGCTTACAATTGAAAAACGCATCCAGTTTAAAATACTATTGTTGACCGTTAAGGTCAAACTGCACACGTCACCAACTTATCCTTTGGAACTCATTCCAGATTATAAACCAACGAGGTCACTACGTTCATCCACCAAGAATCTTTTAATAAAACACAAGTACAAAACTGTAACTTATAATATGTCGTTCTTATATAGCGCTTCATGCCTTTACAAGGCCTCTAAGCGCTTCACATTACTACCCCGGTCATTGGATCAAACACGTATTGAACACATTGAAACACCAAATTAAATTAGTAAATGAAATTATATTATCATTCCATAAATTGCAGCTAGTAATCAGCGCAGTTTGTGTTGGAACCTACCAGGTACCCACTTGTACTCCTGGGTGGAGAGAGGCAACCGTAGATAAAGTGCCTTGCCCAAGGACACAAGCGATTTGCACAGCCAGAGTTTCGAACCCCCGACCTCAAGGTTGGGAGTCCAAGCCACAACCGGTGCGCCAACTGCTCCTTAACTTATGGTAACTGTTCATTTTCTGTAGCCTCACCTCATTGTTGGCTCTCTGGTCCCATTAAAAATGCTTGCACTGTTAACACATTTAAGTCTATGTTAAAAATGTTTTTTCTTAGCTCTTAGGTTAGGTTAGGAAAAGTGAGAATCGGAAAGAGAAGAAAAGAAAGGTAAGTAAAATGAAAACAAAGAAAATTGAGAAAAAAGGTAAATTATACTGAACGGGAAAGACAGAAACAGAAGAAAATAAAAAGGTAATTAATAAGAAGAGGTAAGGAAATAGATAGAAATGGAAAGGGAAGAAAGGAAATGAGAGCAATTAAGAACAACGGAAAATGAAGACCATGAAAAGGAAAAATGTAAAAGAATGATAATGAAAAGTATGATGAACTAGAAAAAAAAAAAGGAAAGAAAAAAGTAGGGAAAAAAAGGAAAGGAAAAGAATAGAAAGATTAATAAAGAAAAAATAAAAAAGAAACAAAGGAAAAGAATGAAAATGGAAAGGTAAAGCAAGGAAAAGAAAAAGAAAGAAAACGAAAGGGAAAAGAAGGAAAGAAACGAAAAAAAACCCGATATGGGTAAGAAAGGAAAATGAAAAGAAAGAAAACGAAAAGGTAATGAAAAGAAAAAGAAAGAAAACGAAAAGGTAAATAATGGAAAAAAAAAAAAAAGAAAACGAAAGGGAGGAAAAGAAAGAAAAAAAAAGAAAGAAACCAAAATGGTTAAGAAAGGAAAAGAAAAAGAAAGAAAACAAAAGGTAATGAAATGAGAAGAAAATGAAAGGGTAAAGAAAGGAAAAGAGAGAAAACGAAAGGGTAAAGGAAGAAAAAGAAAGATAATGGAAATTTAAAGAAAGAAAGAAAACAGGGAGGGTTAAGAAAGAAAAAGAAAGGAAATGGCAAAGAAAGAGAAAGGAAAGAATAAGAAGTGTGGAAGTGAAAGAAAAGGAAAATATAATGTAAGAAAAGGTAGAGGAAAGGAAAAACATGAAAAGAGGTAGAAAAATGTAAGGAGGAAAAGGGGGTAGGGGAAGAAAAGGAAAAACGAAAGAAATTACAGGGAAGTAAAGGAAAAGAGAGAAAGGGGAAAAAAGAAATGGAGAAAAGAGTAAAAGGTAAGGAAACATGACTAAGGAAAAAAATATTTAACAATTATTTTTAAAAAAGTAAATAAAATTCTGTATTTTCAAATTATTTATTTATTAACTTTATATATTTATTTTTATTGTTACTCATTATTTTTGTTAGGTGAAACGTTTAATAATTTTTTACCACACCATGCTGTAAAGCACATAGAGGTATTTTACATTATGCGCTATATAAATTGACAATTATTATATTATATATATATATATATATATATATATATATATATATATATACCATTGATTCTTTGTTGGGAATTCAAACCTGATTAAAGCAACTAATACCTCACACCATTGCACATGCATAGTCGGACGGCACTAGTCCTTGATGCATGGTAAATGACAGAGATCAATATAATATTAATAATAAATAACAATAGTAATAATAATAATAAGATTTATAAAAGCACACAAATCCACTGCAGTAGTGCTCAATGGCACTACAGGAGGAAGAAAAAATTAATATGTCCTCTTTTTATAAGCATTTGATGACAAGAAAGGACCTCTGAAAAGATACTTTTTTATAAAAAAAATCATAACAGAGATAAACTCTACACCGTCTTCCGGTAATGCTATTACTATATATATTTTAAACATTAAAGAAGAGGAATCTGCGAGTGTGAAAAAAAAGTTGGCCCAAACAGGATTTGAAACAGGTAGGAGTTTTAATGAGTCCCTTCACCAGCTGGTGCTACCACTGCGTGAACCTACTAAGTGTTTTTAATTTTTACAATTTCAGATAGCAATTTTGTGCTTGGAAACGCACAGGTGATCCCAAGTTATCCGATAGTGTACTGCTCTGATGGATTCTGCGAACTCACTGGGTTTGTCCGAGCCGAGGTTATGCAGAAGAGTTGTGCGTGCAAATTCCTTTACGGAAGCCAGACTGAGATTGAAAAAATCGAAGAGATTGAAAAGTCGTTGGAAAATAAAGTTGAAATGAAGACAGAAGTGATGTTTAGGACGAAGGATGGTGAGTAGGACATCAAACACATCTTACCTTGTAATTACACTGCGTAACTGTCACTTTGATGGATACATCAATCAAATCGTAAGCATTTGTTTTAAGTGATCTCCCTGCTAAAAGCCAATCCACTTTGGTGATTACCAATCATACTCACATATAATGAAAAACCCTCAACTTATGCAAAGAATTCGTTTCTCTAATTTTCTGCGTTTTCATTATAATACATCATCAATTCCTTAACAACATGCTTTAGCTTCACAGTATAGTTTCTAGGCAACAAAATGATGTGAAAGTTTTTAAAATATCAATAGCTGAAATGGTGTTGTTGCCTGATGAACTGAATCATGGGAAATATTTGAATGTGCATTTTAAATATGCAACTAGTAAAATATTACAAAATTGATAAAAATTTTATTTGAAAAACCACATATATTAATAATTAATATTTTAATTTTTGACATTTTTTAAGTAATTAATATTTTATAATTTATAAGAGCAGCATTATGAGGCTTTATTTGTTTGTTGAAACTAAATATATAAGAAAGTAATTACAGACCATTACATCACAAAACCACTGGCTTTAACTATCGGTATACTTTAGGCCTATTGTACTGTACTCTGTCGGTAGATGAAACAAACTGATATATTTTTTTCTAATTAGCAATCTAGCTTAGCAGAAAAATGGAAATTCTTTTAATCCCAAAAAATTCCTGTCAAATAAAATGGAGTGTGTTGGCTGATCGTCTAATTTATTGGACTCTTTACTTTGGTTTTCACATTGGTTTTCCAAAGCACCAAATACTGTAATTCAAAGTCTTATTCTCATGTTATCAGGTTCAAATAATTTTACACACAATACATACATATTCAAAGAGCATTCGAATAATAACCACCAGAAAAAATGGGTTTATGTGAGCTGCAAGTGGTATAAGTTTAAATTACTTGGAAGATTGTTCCACAAGCGGCAGAAGCATGAGTGAAGATTGTCCATAGGTATTGGCGGTACTGAGAAAAACTCTTGGAAGAAAAGGATAACTAGAGACAGAATGCAGTATAAGCAATGCATGTGAAGTAAGAACTGAAGTAAAACTAGAAGATTTTTATATACCAGGACAAGTAATTTGAAAATATCATGCTGATTGATTGGCTGTCAGTGGGGATCATGTAGGGAAGGAATGATATGGTAGTACTTCTGAGCTCCAGTACGTGTTCGGGCAGCAATGTTCTGGATGTGTTGATTACTTTAATCAATCCATGTAAACTGCCAAAAAAAAAAAAAACTTCAAAAATCAAACCTCAATGGTATCAATGTGACCAAGTAGTTTGTCTGATTCATAGTTTCTTATCAACTTTCTTATCTTTATACAGTTAGTGATTTGCAAATTGGCATATAGAGTTTTGATGCTCCTTAAAAGTGAGGTGTTGGTCAAAAAATTAACTCAGCGTTCCATACTGATGATGCAGGCTCAGACTGGAACTGTTGCCCCAAACAGTATCGGTAGAAGAGTATGCTTTGATTGAATATATAATATACTAATACAGTAATACTATATATTTAGTTTTGTTCTCATTCATTTTTAGTTTGTTTTGAGAATGAGCAGGCGCGGATTTACACGGGGGGAGGGGGGTGAGGGATGCAGCCCTGCCCCCCCCCCCTTTGGAAGATAAAAAAGGGGGAAAAAAGAAAGAAAAAGAAAAAATTGATCATCCAAAACACCTCAGAGGTTATTATCGGGCATTTAGAACACAATTTCGCGGGGGGCATGCCCCTACCCCTAGGGTAGTATCATCTCGATTGGCCCCACCCCACAATTTTTGACATCTCTTGATCCGCCCTTGAGAAACGTAATTAATTCAGTTGTCATTCCAGGCGCAAATAATGCTACATTGGATGATTCTATGATAAAGAATTCACTAACAATGCATTTTAGTTCCGTTGGTAAATCTAACCATGCGAATTGTAACAATAAAAACATTGCTGTGAAAAATAACCTAGACTTGTATGCTGTTATTAATTCCACAGCCCAATCTGCAATTGACTATGTTGAAAATATTATTGATAAATTAAGCTTTACACGCAAAGACCTCGTTAACGTAATATCAATCTAAAAAATAACAAAAGCACAGGCAACAATATTATATCTAACGAAATGCTGAAAAACGGTGGTGACAGCATGGTTACTTCACTGTATAAATTGTGTAGGAGGTTCACTCATCTACAATGTGTACCTGATGATTGGAATGAGGAAATTATCATTCCACTTTACAAAAAGGGTGAACACGGTCGATTTTTAATAGTCAAGACAATTTTAATCGAGTATTTTATGGTGACTTGCTTTGGAAATCAATCGATTTACCAACAATATATTTTACTTGCTCTATTGTTTGGATGAAAAAGAGCCACGGAGAGAATTGAAAACCTCCAATACCAAATGGCCCGAACCATTCTTAAAGTAACTAGGAATGTGGCTAAGGCCGCACTATATGGTGAATTAGGCTGGCAGTTGATTGAATCAATCCGAAACAACTTAACGGTACAATATTTTAACCGACTTAAAAACATAATTGAAGATACAGTAAATGGCCACAGCTACTGTTTAAATCAAAGGATTGGATTGGATTGGATTTATTCAGTGTCACCAAGATAGCCCACGAAAGTCTAGAAGAGGGGTCCTTCTGGTGGTGATTGGGCAGGTGATTTTTGAAAAAATATGAAATGGCAATGGTTAAGCATTTAAAGGCCTATAAAACAAATGACCTTTCATCAGTGTTTAACGTAGAACCACAAAATAGCTAGTTGAAAGCATTTAAAAAGACAATTATGGAAGTTGATGCAAAAAGATAGTTTGAAATTGCTAAATATCAAAGCGGTCACTCAATGAGTATATCAGATACACAGGTTTCCCTTCTATCGAACCTTACCTTCTGGATCAGACTAATTTTAAAGGAGCGTCTCTTAAATTTAGATCCCATACTAATTCTCTGGACCTAGAGGGCAGTAAAGAATCTTGGCTTGTAGATGGTTTCTGTAAATTATGCTCTGTTAATTTTAAGAAACGACACATCACATTTTATTTGACTGTAAAAGACTTCGTCCCATTAGGTAATATATTTTTAAGAATTCAAAAGATGACCTCTTTGATCGGGGATTGGCCATTTTTGGGAATCATTTACAAATGATTTAAATAGAATTAAATAATTCAAAATAATAATGCAGAAAAAAGGCTGCATGTACACTCTGCAGGTGGAATACGGCGCCGCGAGCAGCTCTACCAAGAGATGAGTATGTGCAACTAATAAGATGACATTATTATTATTATTATTATTATTATTATTAAATGCATCCTGAAATGGTGCAGATGATGACACTGACAATGATATGAGCACCAAAATTGAAATTTCTTTTCCTGTTGTAGGCTCTGAGTTTTGCTGCCTCTTAGATATAGTTCCCATACGGAATGAGAAAGGAGAAGTCGTCCTGTTTCTCGCATCACATAAGGATATAACACATACGAAGATGAGTTCGTTCATGTTTAAAGGTCAGTATCTTCATTCATTAATTCATTATTTATGTAATGTAATTATTCAAAATCCAACATTTTATAAGAACATCAATACAGCCATAAAATTAGCACAAAGGGGAAAAATAGAGATTCATTCATTCATTCATTATTTATTTAATTTATTTAAAACCAAACATTTGTAAAAATCATCAATAGAGCCACAAAATCAGCACAAAGGGAAATGTACACAGAAAAAATACAGATTGAAATATAGAGAAGGTAAGATAATAATTAAATCGGTCTATATTAAATATGTATATATAACATGTTTCCTTTTTAATCATTTAAAAAAATTAATCTGCAATTTCCTTTTTTCCCATTTACGTAATTTCATCTATTGATTCATTTTTTTCATTTTCATATAATTCTTATTGTTTTTGTCTGTTTTTTATTAATCAATTATCAGTTTCTTCATTTATCCATTCATTTGTTTGCTCATAAAAGAATCCTTTTTTTTAAACCTTTTGTATTTTTCTATCATCCATTAAATTTTTCTATTCATCATTGAATTATATAACCTTATATGTCTACTATATCAAGATTCAGTGTCAAAGATCTATTTTTGGCTGGGCCTTAGGGCTTCAATTATATATTATATTCACAACCTCCATTAGAGCATTAACTAGATAGTATTCCTTTAGATATTTATATAAAAGATATTTATAATGTGAAATATAATATAATAATATAATGTGATAATATCATTATTAAAAAAATACATATCAACATTTTGTAGTTTTATTGTGACAATCGTATTTGTCTATTTATACTTTTCTTTATATTTTGATATTCGTTATTAATCTGTGCATATCATATATGTGTTTAAAAATCCTTTTATTTTTCTATTCCATTAACAAACAACAAAAAAACATCCTTATAATTGTGTTGTATACACTCAGACAGATTACATTTATTTGCATCTCTGATAATTATTAATTATATTTATATAACTTCAGAATTTTTTTTCAATTAGGAATGATTTAATAAAAAAAAACATTATTATAATAATTTTATGCCATTTATATAGTTCATATTGCAATAAACTGCCGCCATGTGCTTTACTACCCTCGTCACTGGACCAAACACAATTATGGAACACATCAGGTTCTGAGGAACACCATTCTATAGTTAGAATCAATGCTTGGTATTAGGTCCTACCTACCTATACACATGGGTTGACACAAGCAACTTGCACAGCCATGGTTACAAACCCTGAACTCAAGGATGAGAGTCCAATCCATGACCGTTGTGCTACCCACTTCATAGGCAGATTCAAGGAGGTGGGGGACAGTTCTGCTCTGCCCCTGTCTCCTTCCTAAATTTCTGAGAATTACAAAAAATGGGGAAAAAAGAAAATTACATTACAAGTGATAGTCAGACAATACCATTTCTGATGTGCCATAGACATGACATCAGCCCCAACCATGTTGTAGCTTAGTGGTGGGGTGTCAAAACTTAGCAGAATCTATGATTATCTTGAAATATCTTAACAAGTTGGGGCTTTCTTAAGAATATTGGATCAATACTGAACAAAATGATGGTGGATGACATACCGACCTGTCCGATGAGATGTTATAAGATAGCATATGTATTGATTCTTCACGCCATTGATTAAATGAAGTGCTTGAAGAAATATTTACAAATTAGTACCTTCACCCACGCAAAAATGTTTGTAGAAACATTCATGAATTTGTGTCTTAAAAAATTGCTTATTATCATAAATTATTTTGATTATCTATAAGTCAGACATAATTAAATGGGATAAAAACATTTGATTTAATTAAACCTAAACAACCAAAAAATACTTAAGTACATTTTATATAAAGAATTTAAGCCAAAAAAGACCTCTATACAATTTTTTGGGGATTCCTGCAAGTTCTACATACTTTTTTGTATTTATTATTGTTGTATTTTTTTGCATTATTGTTATTATATTCATTTTACATTAGTATTAGTTTTATTTATTATTAATATTATCAATGTTATGATAATATTTAATTTATTTTAATATTTAACTAACATTGTGAAGATATTATAATAATTGATTTTACTAAATACTGTACATAATTTCAGAAGACGGGGAAGATGAGGAGGACGATGATGATATACAAACAGATCTTTTTGGTGATGAAAAGCCACCAAATGGAATTTACCAGAGAAGGAGGAGTCGAGCAGTTCTGTATCATTTATCAGGGCACCTAAAAGAACAAGAGAAAAAACGAAGAAAGCTAAAACTAAACAGTGTAAGCACACTTTGATTAGGGTAGAGTATGCTGGTCAAGGATCTTAGTGGAGTGATGCCCCTTACCTCAAGATGCATACAGTAGTTTCTTAGGCATACATGTTATTTGTTGTCTTACATATTCTACTTACTTTAGGCTCTATACTTAGAGAATAAAATCACTGGTCCATGGGGAGAGATTTTGTAGTTTAGGAAGGCCAAAGTGCTTTTAGACTGTAATATTATTACGGATTGGCAATACCAATACAGTACTTAGTTTGGATCGGCAAATTAAAACCCATTTTACTGACTAATTCCCACTCCTAAAATTAAGCATTTTTTGTTATTTTGTGGTTATAATATTCTATTATTTCAGTTAGTTTATTTCATATAGTTTTATATTTTAAAAATTTTGTAAGGTCATTTGAAGTGCTGAAAATTAGGGTTTGATATTTTACCTGAAGCAGTGAGGTTGTTGACCTTTTAACTTTAGTGTTGCATAAATTTCTAAATGCGGTAGTATCATCGAACCAGTGTTATTTTGATTTACCAGAAAATACACCTAAAGAAATGTTTTTTTGAACCACCTCAAAGTGCGTGGACAATTCAGAGTTAATGAATTCAAGTTGAGCACAAGTTCAAACAATTCAAATAACCTATGCACTCAAAATGCAAACAGCCAAAGTAAGCTAATATTATTTTTATAGAAGATTCTGCATAATGAATAATGAAGAATTCTGTAGGCTTCGTTTTATTAGGGTGAATTACTTGCAGTAGCTTTCTTGGCCCTTCATCCTCTCCCATTGGCTACTAGCTTGAGACAATAGGCTTATGCCTACATTGCCATCTGATTCAACAGCAATGAAAAACACTTAATAAAACTTGTAGTTTTATTATATTTTCTACTTATACTCCTGTATCTTTAAATATCAAAGTTGAAATAGGCGAAGTTAGACCAAATGATATGAAAAAAATAATACCAGATTAGAAGGCAGTATATCATTGCATTTGTCACGTCTTAATGACAATAATAAATTAGTAATATTATTATTATAATTATTTTTATTGTTATTATATATGTCAATGCAAATTCTTTAAAATCAGACTGAAAATACAAGTTAATGTACCGTAAATGCTCGAATAAGCTTATACAATTTTTGGAGGCTTAAGTGCGGCGCTTATTTGAGAGCAGTGCTTATTCGAGATCGCCGCTTATTAAAAAATATTGGCATGGCGGTACCTATCATAGGCCCTACACATTTAGAAAGATATGCTGGTGTCTTCATTGTGTAACTTACCATTTGCACACACTATACATTGTATTTCAAACCCTGTTTCTCAAAGTGTTTCGTTACACACAGTAATAATATGTACTCTCAAGCACCACAGCACTTATTCAAAATAGAATAATCTCGAGTAACGCTCGAAGATTTGAAATCCAATTATTATCATCTGTTGATATTATTAATATTGTTGAAATCCAATTATTAGCTATTAATTCCATTTATTTAACAATAACTCACAGTGTAGTAATATACACTTCACAATCATGCAAAAATTCATTATATACAAGATTATTGTAAATATAGAATTGTTTTTTTTCTCTTTCAGACATTACTTGCCCCAAAACAAACCAACCTACCAGAATATAAGGTAGCAGCTATGCAAAAATCGCAGTTTATTTTTCTTCACTACAGTACATTTAAAACAATATGGGATTGTATTATATTATTAGCCACGTTTTACATAGCAGTTGTTGTACCGTATAATGTTAGCTTCTTGAGCTATGATGATGATGGGAAGCCCAGGAAATCTAAAACAATAGTACCAGATATAATAGTAGAAGTTCTGTTTATATTAGGTAAGGAAGTTAATATTTCATCATTATTATTATTATTATTATTATTATTATTATTATTGTTATATTATTATTATTATTATTATTATTATTAATATTATTATTGTTAATTGTTTATCAATATTATTATTACAGGTCTCCCTCCAATTAAAGACCAATTTTGGGGTTTATGTAGTCTTTAGCAGCTTTGGTCTCTAATTAGAATAATAATGATAAAAGACATTTGTTAATTTGGAACTACTGAAAAATGGTTTTTAATTGGAATGGTCTTTAATTTGAGTGGTCTTTAAGTAGAGGGTGACCTACTGTATATTACATTTGTGAATTTTTATTGTTATTTTTATAGTAATTACAATAATTATTGTTAGTGTTTTATATTGAGTAGTTATTTTGTTTTGAATTTGAGTCAAATATTGTTATTTTTGTTATAAATAATTACTATTTATAATAATTATTATTATATCGTTTATAGAGTCAAAATTTTATCACTTCAAGTAAATATTTTAAAAGTATCCACTACCTACCTTAATATTATTGCAATCATCATGATCCTGATCATCACCTCAACCATCATCATCATCACCACCATTATCATCATCATCATTATTATTAATATTTTCATTATTGATATTAACATAACTATTATAATTATTATTTTTTAAAGTATTTTTAATATTCAGTGGCTGCATCAAAGCTAGCTTCCATCATCTATACTTCAATTCCGTCTCTTGAGTGTTTTAAGGAGCACTCAAAATTTCATTTGCTCATAGATAAGCACATACTCTAGACATCATGTTGAGTACTGTATAAAAGAACAATTATTATATATTATTATTATTATTATTATTATTATTATTATTATTATTATTATTATTATTTATTATTATTGTTAATATTATAATTAATTATATTAATAATTATATTATTGTTATAGTTATTCTAATATGAATAATTATTAATATTTTTGTTATTGTTATTACCACTGTTATCATTAATATTCTTATTCTTTTTAAAAATTATTGTATTAATTTTATTGAAGTACTTTTTGCAGTTTCAACTATACATGACTATGTCAAAGGTCAAAACATGTAAAAAAAGTCATTGTTTTGAAAATATATGATACCAAAACATGAGATAATTATTTTATTTTAATGTAAATAATTTATCATATAACTTAATAAAAGTAGTGTATATTATAGTTCTAATAATAATCTAAATGGGCCAAAATGTATAAAATCCAATGCTAGAATATTTTCACTTGACTACCCATTGTGTAGATTTAGCATAACCTTTAAGTGAAGTGTTTTCAATCTTGATATTACACATATCATGTGATACATACACCTTTGAAATTATGTCATCACATATATGATGAATAATTAATGTGTACATATACCATAAACCTGATATATTTTGTCAATAGAATATTAATTTACCATATCAATATGATACCAGCGTATAATAGAAAACCTGACAGATGTCGATAGCATGCAGAACTAAAAAATATGCTGACGAAACTCAAGAGAAAATCATTGTAGGTTTCTATGTATTATTGTGTTGGTTCATTGACCCTAGTGTCGGTGCTTTTCCTTTACTTCAATTACTGGAGTGCTCCCTCTCCCATTCTGGTGACTCATGAATATTCACGTTTTGAATGGTTAAAGCTTTGTCCACAGTTGAATTCTATGTGACAAAATTTTTGTGATGTGTACATATTTACATGATGATGTCACATACTGTACATGCAATTCAATTTAGGTTAAACTAAAGATGAATTTGAACTTGGTACCATACCATACTATTATTTTGCAGTGAATTAAATAAACTGTTTTAAACCAATGACGGCTGTAAAATGATAAATTAGAATATTAATTGTTTACTTTCAGTAGAGTAAATCATTTTAACAAAATGCTTACAATGCAATATAAATAATAATAATCTGATTTGAGAAATAATGATATATTTTCCGTAATTACGGAATATATAAATGTGCTTATATATAATACTTAGAATACAATATATTAGATAATTGTCGTTTTTAATTTTCTGTTGAGTTGGATACTTAGTGTTTGCCTACCTAGTGAAAATGGCGGTTCCCGATCTAAATTTTATTCTTTTAGAGTGTCCATGAAGGAATCGTTGATTGCTTAACGTAGTTTATAGGATTACTTTCACTCTATGGCCGAGTAATCATCATCTGGAATCTAAAATTTCTATGAGAAAAGGTCTCACAGTACATCGTTGATAGGAATTGAAGCCTGGACATTGGCAGGATGAATTGTATCCTAACCGCTTGGCAACCATGACAGTTATGTCTTTTCAGCTTGAAATATTAATAGGAATACAATTTATGGTAATAAAAGTAGATCAACTGGAAAACACTCTTGACAGTCAAGTGATATATTGATGATGTAGTCTATAAATTCTGTATTTCTAATGGAAAACAATAGTTCTAGCACAGGGCACAAAATGGTGCCTTTAATGTTAATTACAATCATTAAGAAAGATGAAGTGGGACATTAAACGTACACTACCATAAAGAGGTTAAAAACAAAGAGCATTATGAAAAAAATGGATAAAGATACAAAAACAAAGTAGATGTATGTCTGTAAATAATAATATGATAATAATGGTCAATTTATAGAGTGCATATTGTAGAGAGACCTCTATGCGTATAACATTATTACCCCCGGCAATTATATCAAGCACATATAGAACACATGCTCAGGCCCTTTGGGAGAATTCCATAATGTTGCAGTAGTAATCAGTGAACTTTGTGTTTTAACTTATTAGGTACCCACTTGTACTCCTGTGTGGGGAGAGACAACCATAGGTAAAGTGTCTTGCCTAAGGACACAAGCAAGGAAGCAAAATACACAGCAAGGGATTGAACCTTTGACCTCAATGTTGAGAAGCAGAACCATAACCATTGTGCCAAACCGCTCCTACAAAAACAGAACATGTTGCTTTTTTCATTGAAAAAAATGAGATATGGTGTTTGAAATTATAGCAGTGGGTTTTCTGCTTTGTTGCTCTTTAGCGTTGTCATTATGTTTTTGTTGTTAATTCTGTATTTTTTTTGTTTTCTTTTTAAAATCTATTCTTAATTGTGCCTGTTTCTGTATCATCAAAATGTGTAGATAAAGTATAGATATAAATGTTGCAAGTGATCACCAGTGAGTGATTTATCCTTTCTATACATTCAACTTAAATAATTAATAGCCGCAGGCCTTTTATTATTTTTTAATCACTGTATGAGTCTTGTGGTAATAAACATGAAAAATGAGTTCTTGAAATATTTTATTTATTTTTTATTTATTTATTTTTTACCCAGGGTAACCTGATCAGTGAAAAAGCATTGTTATTCTCCAGGGCCCAGCAACACATACAGAAAAATACAATCAAATGGCAAAAATCGTCCTCGTACATAGACAATCAACAAAGGCTATAGAAATTTTAAATTTAAAATGTAAAAAAGATATATTCATAGTAAAATACCAATATAATAATTGTAATAATAATTATTATAATTATATGATATTGAGATCGATGGCATTCTCTGGCGCAGCGGTTGTGGTTCTACCTCTCAACCTTGAGGTCGGAGGTTCAATCCCTCTTTGTGTATTTTGCTTGAGCCCTTGGCAAGGCGATTTACCTACGGTTGTCTCTATCCACCCAGGAGTACAAGTGAGTACCTGGTAGGTTCAAGCACAATGTGCTGATTACAGCTGCAACATTATGGAGATAAGTACATGTATGCCATATGTTCTTGATCCAATGGCCAGAAGTAATTGTGAAGTGCTTAGAGGCCTTGTTGGCATGAAGTGCTATACAAGTATAACATATCAAAATTCTAACATATTTATTTTGGTCTTTAAATCATGTTCCTATGTTGAGTACAACTGGAATACAATTATATTGAAATTTAGATGTCTGAAAACATACTGTACTTCAGATATATGGAGAGAGGTCTTTTCGGGTTGCTGCTTCTAAGCTCTGGAATGAACTTCCCATCTACATTTGGGAGTCTGTTTTCAAGCAGAGCCTTAAATCACACCTTTCCTTTCTTTTTGATTTGTCTCTCTTTTCTGTTGTTTTTGTTGTTAGGAAAGGCTAGGCCAGATGGAAACACTATTCGAGCACCTGTCAGTCATGTACCTGCTAACCACTGCTTGTCGGTGGTCTCAAATTGCAAGTGAACGGTGCGATAGTGTTGGTTCCTTCTGTGTTAGTCTGTTTTGGTTGTTTAATTATAGCTTGGTTATCTTAGGTGACCTACTACTGTAGAATAGATGTTTTTTGCTTTCTGTGGAGCGCATAGAGACCACGTATTATGCGCTATGTAAGTCTCCAACCGTTACCATTATCATAAACTTGTCGAAAAGATAGAAAAGTAATTTCTTGTTGGTTTTCCTATCAATTCTGTAATCTACTTTACAGAATGTCTATCAAAAACAGTTTTAATCTGTGTAAATCTTTTTTATTGTAAAATTTACCTATTAAACAAATTGGAAACACTAAAACCTGATATTTGTTAAAATTTGATGTTAATTTTTTTAATTAATTGACCAATCAAGTATAAGTTTTTGTTTATGATCTTTTTTTTCTATTTTCTTTCAGATCTTGTTATCAATTTTCGAACAACGTTTGTGAGTAAAGACGGAACAGTGATATACCATCCACCTCAAATAGCCATTAACTATCTCAAAACATGGTTCTTCGTTGATTTAGTCGCTGCAATACCTTTTGATCTTATAACTTTGATTTTCTCAATTGATACAGTAAGTTTGTTTAAATTATAGCATCCTTGAAAGGCAATAATTTGATGGTGACTTTAGCAATTGTGTGACGTCATCATAAGTCTGCACTATCATCTGTTTTTTCAGTTTGAGTGAGCTCATTCAATCTCGTATTTTGTGATTAGTCATCAGGATCTTGATGCATATATTCAGTGCAATCAAAGATCACCATTCACACCTTAAGATTAGATATGACTGAGATTATCATGTGCGGCAATTCACGCCACACCCACTTTTTGTACTATTGTTGTGTACATACTGTAGGCCTACATAATAACAAACCAACCAAACTTTATTTACTGTAAAGCAATTGGTAGCTGATATATATATATAACAAGTAACAATGTTACTGACAACAATCAAATTGGGTGAACAATTAAGCTTCATAACTAATCTAACAGGAATAAGTACAAACATTCAAAGATAGATGGAGTTAACTATAATACTCTACCAAATATATAACTCTAGTAATTACTCATAATATCCCAGCCACATCTTGCTTGACTCATTGGTAAGCAAATCATAATCATGATTACTCCCACATAATAGTATATCCTTCAATTTACAGGAATAATTTTTTTTCCTGTAAGTTTGGCAACTATTAGCATTTGAATGTCTATATGTATCCCATTATTTAAACCATATCTGACATGCTAATAGTCAGTATATTATTCACAATGCACTAATGCTAAATTATGTCAAATTTGAAGGCTATATCTGATTCCAATGGCCTTAAGATAACAGATTCAGTAGAATATATGAGACATCTAGAGTAATTGACTCATATATTTCCTAACAGCATTAAAGGTGGTATATATTTAGTGGATGTAAAGTCTAACAAACCTTTAGAGACGTTGTCGGAGCTGCTGCAGTTTGGGCTCAACCGTTAAAGTTGGGGTCTGGAACCCCTTTTTGTGTATTTCATGTGTCCTGGGGCAAGGCACTTTACCTAAATTTTCTCTCTCCAATCATGTGTATAAATGGGTATGATGATTCTTTTCATAGTTTTGTGCTAATGAAGTATATAGAGCACAACTAGGTATAGTCTCCAAGGCACAGAAAAAATTTGCACTTCACATCAGTTTGCCAATTATTTGTTTCCGGTGAGCACTAATAAAATAAGCCTTGCATTGCCATGTTTTGTATAGCCATGTGTTGCTTCAGATGTGATAAGTATTAACATTTAATAAGTTATTAAATTTCATAATTACTATATGTTTATAGGTATAACATTTTAAAGAGTTTGTCAATTTGACAGTATAAAGAAATATATATGTTTTGGGAGGGGGCATCCACTCCCATTTTAGATTTGTTTGGAATTAGTAGACTGCTAGACGATCTTAGATGGCATCTGAATAGAAGTAAACTGAAAACAGAAAGGGTATTTTTTAGCAGAGTACACAGGAAGCACACACAAGACGAGTGATCATTATTTTTTTTTAAGGTAACGAACGGGGGTGGCTAGTGGCCACCCTATTCACCCCTTCTAGATCCGCCACTGTAATTAACTGCCAATAAAAAAATTACATAAAATATTTAAAAAATCTAAAATGAAAAAGAAAAAAAGGAGGCTAAAGGAAAAAGTAAGAAAATGAGAAAAGGTTAATTGATAGCCAGGATTTTTATTTACCGGTATATATTTTTTAGATTTATAGAGAGATAGTCTGCATACCCGTGTGTTTTCCTTTTCCATTGGATGGCAGATTAATTGTACATAATGTGTAACCATCTCCATAACCATATCCATTAGGGTAAATTCCTATTCGTGTAGCTAATTCGGCACTTCTCAGGTTTCCATTTCAAATCTTTCACCTCAGGTACCTATTTATACTCCTGGGTGGAGAGAGACAAATTTAGGTCTGGAGTTTGCCCAAGGATACATTAGCAATATCACCAGAATTAGCTCACATTCATTATTAATCATTTGGAAGTTCAATTACATAATAAAATACTCAATGCATTTCGAGTTGAAATCTTTAATAAATAAATAATGAGAATTCTATAAAATATACCTTACATACTTACTCAAAAAAACCTATTTTCATCTTTTTCACATTTTCTTTCTAATTTCATATTGTTGTACCGGGTTGTTAATTAATTTATTTGAAATATTTTTTAGAGTTGATTTCACAGGTCAAAGATAAAATCCACCAAGTTTGAAGGGCCAAAATATTTTTTGAGTTGATCTCGTAAGTCAAGATAAAATTCCCTGAGTTGAAAGCAAATTCCTGGATCTGCAACTGATTGCTTTACCAATATGATTGATCACAATTAAAAAGCCTAGGTGTTGTTGAGTCTAGACACAGTTTTTGGGGAAAAATACAAAATTAACATTAATTTTATCTGTAACATTTGGTAACTATTTTCCTAATTGTACGCCATGTCCTTTTTATTTTTATGAGCCATGTAAACTTTAGTGCAAACACTATTAACGAAACACAGTGAACAGAACAAAACAGAGAGGCAAAACTGACAGTGTATGTTTTATTTATGGCCAATTATACCTTATTTATTTTCGAAACATTTTCAAGCTGGTTTCCATTAAAGTTGTTAGTGTACATGACCCATTTTTTGTCTTTACTTTATTGAAAATGTTATTTGCATTTGCTTTGGAAAATTTTTCCTTACTATTTTACTTTTTCTCGCGGGCCAAATTATATTACTCAGTAGGCCAAATTTGGCCTGCTGGCTGCTTATTAAGAACCAGGGCATATATTCATTTCTTCCACTAATTTAGCCAGTGCTCTCATATTTACGATATCCATTAAAAATCCATTGTTATTAAACTTTCTGTATCAGTACTACTCAAATCAAATTAATTGACCATAACATTCAATGTTACTTAGTTTTTATTTGTGATGTGATGTTCATAAATATTTCACTAGATATTTCCATTGACTGGTACATGCTTGGTCAATTCAGCTTATTTCTGAACGGTCGAATATCGCTAGCTATAATAATATTCATAGATTATGTGTCAGTGATATAAATTTGATATTCACTCTTCTGTGTCTTATTGCTCATAGCTATTATAAAAAAAATATGATTAATTTATATTCACATATAATGTATCATTATTTCATTATTTATTAATAGAACTCAATATAGTTACCTCACAAGGATGTCTTCATTTCCATATATTTTATGTACATTTTTAAAATGTAAACTAATATAAGTTGATGATGGAATAAGTTTACATACCATACTTGTTTTTTTTTTTTATGGTTTTAACATTTAAATGCAATGGAAATTGACAGTTTTCTGTTTGTGCTTTCTTAGATTTGGAAAAATATCGGGATGCTAAAGATTGTGCGACTATTGCGCTTGCTACGAGTCAAAATAGATCGATATTCCCAGTACAGTGCCATAGTTTTAGTGTGCCTTACGTTGGGATTTGGACTCCTTGCTCATTGGTTAGCATGCATCTGGTACATCATAGGAACTAAAGAAATTGAAAAAAATGAGGATCAGTTAAATTGGCAAATAGGTATGAGAGTAGTGTTAAGGTCAACTAAGATTGCATTGTATGATGCAGCCTGTACAATTTGTTGACGGGACCACAGTCAGTTGTGTGAATATTAAACATGTTTAGTATTCTACAATGTGACTGTCCCAGGTACAGTGTTACGACAACCCATTTTCAGACCTGCCAACCCTTGGGTCATGAAAATCTGGAGATTTTTTTAAGAATCATAAAAAAATCTGGAGATTTACCAAAAAATCTGGAGGTTTCCAGAATTGATCAAAAGATAATCCAAGATACCAAAAAAGTCATGTCACTACAAATCATTGGCCGTTGGGGGCAACATTCGAATTGAAAACGGCTGCTTGTTTATTGCACTTCGAAGCGGGCAGGCGGCAAATACATTGAATAATAATGATCAAGTCAATCAAATTATGCATAAATCGGAGTATTTTTGGGGAGGGAGGGTGGCCTCTGAAATCGGGTGAAAATTACATCCGATCGGGAGAACTGGAGATTTGTTTAAATATCGGGTGACACCCGACAGGATCGGGTGACACCCGACAGGATTGGGTGAGTTGGCAGGTCTGCTTTTTATCTGCGCTTAACACATACAGGCCCGATGCATTGATACATCATGCCTTAGTTAGTTGTGGTAGTTTAGTGTACCTTATATGAACATTGATCACAAAAAATATTCTTTAACATTGACATTGATCAACAATACAAATGGTTATCACATATTTTTTATGAAAGAAATATTCTTAACTTTATATACATACTTTTACATTGATTGCAAAATCTGGATATATACTTTACTTCTACGTTAATGGCAATAGTGATAATAAAACTATGATATATGGATCTCATTTTTATTACAAAAAAATAGACATACCTGTAGATCTAAACTATATTGAACTTATTGATAATATAAAAAAACTTTAAGACATTTCTAAATTGATCACAGCATTAATCACATTTGTTACATACTTGAATTCAGTTCTACAATGGTCATAATATTGATCATGAAATAATCATTAAGACATACTTCTACACTCATAATCATAATATTGGTAACAAAACATAAGACATACAATTAAATTCTTATATGGTGAAAATAAGGATCAAAATACTTATTTCAACTTAAAAATAGTAAAGTTCTAAATTAATCACAATATTAGTCACAAATATCACAATTATATTAAATGAAGTGATTGTAAAAAAGAATGCAAAAATCTTCTTTTTGTGTTAAGTATGAAATTTTGTCTGAAATTTAAAAAAATTGATTCAAAATAAAAGCTAATAAAAAAATAATATTACATTAAAATTAAGAATTGTGAAACAGTAATTTTGAGTAAAATGGCAAAAATGCATCCCTGAAGCAATTTATTGTTTAATATTTACCTTTTATTTTTATTTATTTATTTTTTTTATTCAATATATTTCATATATACATACATACAAAATGAAAAAACATTACGTAAAAAGACAAGTTAAATAATAAGAAGCAATGAGGCTTTATAACAGCAGATTAAAGAAAAAGGATACAAAATAGTATATATTGGATAATGATATAAATTAATTAATCTTATACTCTTTACTTTGCACTTTATTTTATATTGGATAATGATATCAGTCAATTATTGGTTATTATATACCGCATACATAATTTCTAGGCATCTGATTGGTTAAGTAGTGGACAATAGAAATATCTCCCTAAATGATAGTACTTTTTTGCCCTGTTGTGTGATGTGCAATCTCTAGGCCTCATAGCTATGTAATTTATGACACACTCACAAGAATGAAAGGGGACGCAACCTCTACAACACTGAGAGAGATTAGCCCTTTGATAGCCTAGACCTACTTGGTGTCTATTATTTTCATTACTTTTTTATGTCTTGTAGAATCTGTATGAGGTATATAAAACAAATATTGACTGCTCTAGATTCGAGGAACGATGAAATCTCTAGCCACTCAGTGATGTGGAGACCATAGGCTAACTTACTATTCCCCTCATGAACAGTCAATATTTGTTTCATTTCATCTTTTTTTTTTTTGCCAATTCAAACAACAATACAAAAGGACAGAAAAAGACAAGACAACACCCTTGTCGGTGATACGATAAACAAAATGTAAACTTAATTGCAAGGACAATAGATATGTATATTATATACCTCATACATAGATTCTAGGCATCTGATTAGTCAAGAAGCAGGGCAATAGAAAGTACTATTCCCCTCAAAAAGTACTATTCCCCTAAAAAATAGTACTTTTTGACCTGTCGTGATGTGCAAACTCTAGCCCACTTAACATCGCACTGCTGATGGTAAAGGGGACTGCTCTTGTCCGCATTTTTTTCACGGTAGACCACAAACAAATATGGAGTGTGGTCGTTTCGAGATGAAGAAGGACTAGCCTAGGCCTAGTATTACTTCTTGATGAAGCTGATACCAAAAGCACTAAAAGACAAATTAAATGTCTTATCAATATTCGACAAATATTGTAAGACAATGGGTGCTGTTGAAATTGAGGACATAAGCAAAGAAGAGCTAGACACACTCTTTGATCGCCTTGCTCCTAGCTATTCGAGTAGTAGTAATAGGCCTAGGCCTCTAATAATAGGCTAGGAAATGAGTACTTTTTTAGACCTCGTAGAAACTATGTATGAGGTATATAAAACAAATATTGACTGCTCTAAATTCTGGGAACGGTGAAATCTATTGCCCCGAGGTGATATAGAGACCGTAGCCTATCTTCTCAAGGGCCGAAGCCCGGGGGGAGATAGGCTATGGTCTCCCCATCCCCTAATGAGCAGTCAATATTTGTATACTATATGCATAGTATTGTATATCAGATAATGATATCAATTGTATTCATTATTATTGATTTTAATTATAAGAGTTGAGAAATTGATGTTAGTATATGCAAATGTATGAAATTATGAATAACTTCCATTGTATGCTTAGGTTGGATCAACGAGCTGACTGTATCGTTAGGTCAAAGTTACTATACGAACCTCACACTACAAAGTCAATACGTCACCGCATTGTATTACACTTTGAGTAGTATGACGAGTGTCGGATTTGGCAACGTTTCAGCAAACACAGATGCTGAGAAAATATTCACAATAATTGTCATGTTAATAGGAGGTATATATATTCCACAATTATGATTTATTTGTTAATTGTACTATATTATAAGAGGGTAGCTCTTGCAGCGCACATCTGATAAGAAGTGATCCTTATGGATAATACCATAGTATAATTAAAAAAACAAGAAAAGTTGTAAATTGGTGCTTAAGGACTCAAGCCTAGATTTTCCTGCTGAAATCATTATCACCTTCATACAATGAATTAAATCCAGGCTCCAGCTGAAATCACTATCACCTTCATACAATGAATTAAGGCTCCAGAGGAAAAAAAATTTGATATATTGTAGAACTGATTTTTCTACGACACAAAAAAGCATATTTGATGAAAAACTCGGGAGCGGTAAATGAGATACAGATATTTAAAAATTTATAAGCTGGGCCATGATTGAGGTTGTAGTTGGCCCCTTGGTTCAGCAGACATTTCAGACCCCTGTCTAGTGCCACCATTGTTCCTAGCTAATAGCTACAACATGGCTACAGTAACTCATTTGTTATTTATTCTATTTTTTGTTTATGTTCCACTTCAATCCCTCTCAAAATGATGAAAATAAATAAATTGGTAGATGTTAATATTTCAGTTATGTTAAATTTTCTTGTAATACAGAAAAAAAACCCCTCAAGGAATTGTGAATTGATCCCTCCACTACTGGCTCCTCCAATCTTTCAGTTCAGCTATTTTTTATATATATTACATAATTACTTTGATGCGAGTGTGATTTATAGTCACAGAAATAAAGCTAAAAATAACACATGCTTGTGTAATTGCTTTTCAGCTCTCAGTCATGCGGCAGTGTTTGGTAACGTGACAGCACTGATTCAACGAATGTATGCAAGACGGGCACTTTATCACACCAAGTGCAAAGATTTAAAAGACTTTATTCAGTCCCATAATGTTCCATTGGACCTAAAAAACAGGATGCAAGATTATTTCCAAACATCTTGGTCTGTCAACATGGGCATCGATGAAATTGAGGTAATGCAATCATCGCATTTTAGGATTTCCCATTAATGAAATTACGAAAAATTAATCACATTATTAAAATATTATATAATCATGAGAATTATGAAGTTTTTAAAGGATAGCTCTACCTATATTCAGTCTCCTTATGGCCCTTTAACAGAAAAACTTTTAATATTTGACAAATGTTAATAAAAACTTTCTAAAATGCCTGGTAGAGAAAATATGAAATGATCATATTCAATCATTACTTCAGATATCTTCTGCATTTTTAGACTTCCAACTAGAATCAACATTTTCAATTCAATTCAAATTTTATTTCAGACATTGTTTCTCAGACATTGTCCATATAAAAATATAAAGAAAATGAATACTGTACAAAAGTAATATTGAAAAGAAATTTGTAAGAAAAAGGTGAAAAAGCAGGTTATTACCTGCAAGCATACGCTCTTTAAACCTAAAAAAAACCAAAAAACAGATATATTCATAGAATGATTGTACGAAGTAGACTTCTTTTAGAATGCAAGTAATTAATCCGAAGAAAGATTGAGCAGATTAGAAACAATATGGAACTCCTTTCTACAGGAAATGATTAGAAATGGTTTCAAAAGAAAAATTGCTGATACTGAAGAGGAAGCAAATTGGAAAGACACAATAACATAAAACTTACAAATTTTTAAAACTAAGAGTATATCATCCTTCTGCAAAATACAAAATTAAAAATATATTGCTCATATAACCAGATTACAAAATTTAACCTTAAGAAATAAATTTCCACATCAAACAAGAAATATCCCCACACCATATGCAATCAATTGGAAAAAGACATCAATGGAGAAGACAAAACATCTTTAATTTGCAAAACAAGGTTGTCCCTATTACACATGGTATTCTAGAAATAATAGGGACACTAATAAGCATATGGTACTGAAACTCAATAGCAAGCAAATGATAAATGCTTATTGCACTTGCATTTTTATTTAGATTATTAATGTTTTTTTATGTTTTAGTTAAAATTTAGTATTTTCCCATTTTTTTTCATGACCATATATTTTTGTTGAGAGCATGTGTGTTCAAATAAAATTTCTAAATAAAGAAAACGATATACAAATAAATTTTATTACAAGTTTTTATATGAAATTTTAATATATTCATAACTACTAACCAGCGAGTAAACACTACAAACCATGGAAACCTAAACTAGCCTCAGGAAATGATTAAATTCAATTGATTGGTAGATGATTGTGCATAAAATGCAATTTAATTAATTGAATTAATCGTGGGAATGCAAGAGTAAAACCATATGGGAATTTCAAACAATTTTTCAATGCCATTATTCTCGAAATACTTACAATTTCCCTTGTCAACAATATTTTAGATTAAATTTGTTTTTGCAAACAACTCTTGTGAAATTATAAATTATATATTATCCTGAAATTAAGTTTTTAATAATTAATTTGTATTAATTGGTATAATAATACAATGTAGGTAATTTGCATGAATATATTGCTTGAATTTTAAACCTGTAGTGTAAAGTGCAACATACAAATACATAATTCATCATTTTGTTGTTTGTCTATGTTCCCAAATAAGTAGTGAATTTGGTATTTGCTGCTGGTTGGTATAATAAATAAATATATTTGTAACATGGACAATTTCATAAATTGTTTTTTTTCCTAGATGCTGCAAATGTTTCCAGAGGAGCTACGTGCAGACATCTCAATGCATCTTAACAAAGAAATCCTCTCTCTCCCAATCTTTCAAGAAGCAAGTCAAGGTTGCAGAAGGTATTTATATTCTAATGCTGCTTATAACAACACATTTATTTTTACTCAATATTTTGCACATCATTAAGGTCTACTAGAAAGGACAGTAACAGCACAATAAAAAGGCAGTATCATTTGATTTCAAACAATCATTTCCGTCCTACAGGCTTCTAGGCAGCAACTTTCTTATTCATGCCAAGGTAACTATTCCACACTAATCTTCTTTCCCTGCATTTATTATAGCTTAGTGTCTTTTGTAAGCCACATTCATGCTGTTAGTCCTGTGTGCAAAATAGTCCATGTATACTATTTTGAAGAATCCATAGGTTTTATTCAAGAAAGAACAGGAGACAGTCTAAATTTTACCACCATCGTTGGTGCTATACTCTGGTCTCCACTGTACAAATCTTACTAGGAAAATGGTTGCTTTAAATTTTTGGTTCCATCTATGTTTTTATTTACCAATTTCAAAAACATTTTCACATTCATCGTTAGAAAAACAAATGCAAGTGAAGTTCTATAGATGATGCCTTATACAAGTGTATCCAAGGCTTGGTTCCTGACTATCATGCTGCCTGCCATTACATTACTCAAGGGCATACAGGGCTCATGCATCCGGATCTAACAACACCATACTTAAGGTTTGCCCACCATGTCAACTCACTGACAACTTCATATAGCCAGATATTTTTGTAGGGGTAGGCTAGGTCTAGATGCCAACGCCATTCAAGCACCTGTGAATACGGTCCTTTGTGGGCCTTGCATCTTAAATTGCTGGTGAATGGTTTGATGGTGTTTTTGGCTCATTTGTTCTGTTTATTTCTTCATTTTCTATGCTGTCTACTTTTAGTTTTCATTGCTATCAGCTAGTCTATTAATAGAAATACAAAAAAAGCACTATGGTATTCATGAAATAGTTCTATGTAAATACTGTATACATAACATATATTTCTTCAGAGGTTATTCTGAGAGGTGGATTTTTTAGGCCAGTCCACTGTAACATTTTTCATTTTTTTGTAATATTAAGAAATCTTCAAAAACATTAAATGGTATGGATTTAGAACAAGACATTAAATACTGTACTGGTGAAAATTGAGAATAGATTTGAAGTCAGAAATAAAGGTTATATGGTTATAAATAGTATGCTTAAACTATGGAAATTACTATTTGCAACAGAAGGATTTGTGGAGACTTATTTTTGGAACATGACAGTCAATTATTCTGTGATTTATAACATACCAGTCTTAAATATTAATTTGCTCTTTAGATTACAAACAAGTATGTCTACAGTGTATTAAACAAATTCTACTGTAAATTATGCTGTAAATTATACAGTAAATTTAATTGTAAATCAAAAATATAAATGAATGTTTAATTGACACCATAAAATAGATAATAATTATATAAGTTTATAAATAAATAAATTTGATAATATGAAGTAAATGCTATAAATAAACAGTAAAACAAAGTAAAAATATAGATCCAAAAAGGTTGGATGAAAAAGTTGCAATTTGCATAATTTATCCATATGGATGAAAAAGTTGCAATTTGCATAATTTATCCATATGTTCTTGATGAAGTTTAAGATCCTGAGCTCTGCTCACTTTTAATTGGCAGTGATGGTTGATGAACTTGTAGAATGTCAAACATCACTGGCCGCCACTAAGGCATTGATTCTGATTTTCACTAGTCAGCCCTATGGTCCCAGCCAGTTGTGGTCACTTTTACCTTCAGCCTCACATCAACCGGATCCCGGGGCCACTTTGTCTATCGTATCTGAATCTTTATTATCCACACAGATGTCTAAATCTTTATTATCCACACATTATTCGATGTCTATCGTATCTAAATCTTAATTCAGTCATGTTTCTTACCGGCAAAGTTTTAATTCTTAATTTTTGTTATTATTTAAAGCCCCATTCCCGTCAAAATTTCACTAAAAAGATTTTCTTTGGAAAAAATGCATGTGCATAGTTTTTAGGAAAAAGATAAAAAAAAGAAAAAAATGAGAATAGAGACTTTCTCATAGGAGATTACCATTCTGTCTACGACTTCTTCGTTACTAGTCAAATTCAGAGGTTGTCGATCACATCCGCTGGAATGCTCTTGCTTTTGTGTGTATACTTTATACAGTCAATAAAATGCGCCCTCTCTAATGAGATCAGTTTTTGTACTTTGCATCTCGCACACTGAGGTCGATTGAGTAGGCCTGAGATGTTTGTTTAATTGTCAAAATCTCGGTCAGAATAATAATTTTTTTAACAAATTTGAAATAATTCCAATGAAATATTATATTAAATGTGAATAGTAGCAACGGATAATATTCTGTTGGCCGTTTTTGCATCTGATAACAGAACCTAAATTGAGGTAAGACAGGCCTAGCCTAGCAATGTTTTGGATAGGCTAATGTTTCCGACACATACTATATTTCTTCACAGACCTATCACAAAATCAAACATGAAAAATTCATCTGCATTTATTTTTTGTGTGGAACACAAAAAAAAATCAAATTTCAGTCTTATTTTACATGTTTTTCAAGTTTAGGAATGTCTAAATTCAGTTAAACTAGCAATTTAATATTATATATATAAATTTTATGATATGTATAACAATCAGATTTTTCTTAACTAAAGTTTTGTCAGGAATGGGGCTTTAATATTAGTTCTTGCAGTAAGCTTTAAGTTATATGTGCTATTTAATTGTATTGTTGCAAGAAAAGTACAGGACAAATTTATTCATAGATAATTCAAAACAGATCTACAACCTGAATAGCCCAAAATGCCAAAGAGATCAAATTACAATAATACGTTATTAACTACGAATTAGTATAAATCTTATCCAAGATCATATTTTATTGGCTGAATATAACAGCTGGTCATTCATGCAGTGATTATAAATTAAGAATAATTAAAAATTATATAGAATATATTCTTGCTTTATTTATGATACAAAGTAACGAATTGTCAAATAATGTATTTAACCAATTTTCATATTCTATTAAATGATGAAAATGTTTGTGTATGATTAGTTTCACTATCATGTATTTCTGACTTCGATGCCTTTCAACTGGACCTTTTTTCATCTAAATACAACATACAATTTTGGGAGTACATATATTAAGAATGTTTACGTTAGAAATTACTAAGAGGTTTTTTATGATTTTTGATTTTGTCTGCGCTGTTCACATCAAATTCATTGACTTTAATGTAAATTTTGTTCTCTTTTGAATTGCATATAACTTGGGAGTAAATGCACTAGAATGGTCATATTATAATTTATGAAATTCTAGATACAGTTGTATCACTAAATTGCACATAATAGACTTCAGTTCAACAATGTCAAATTCATTTTTATGATTGCCCTTGATTAAGATAGTTATTTGCGAAGCCTAATTGTTTAGAAACTTTATACATTTTACCTAATGTCAAAGTTCATGACAAGAAACTATAGACAGTTGGATATAAATGTGTTCATTTAATACTACTGTAGGATGTCGTCTGTATCCGTAGGCTATTTTTACTTAACATACAGAGAAAGCGATATGGGATAGCGAAGGAGATCAATATGAGTTGCATGATTAAAGAAATGTACAACTTAAAGAGAAGGGCTTTATTGATTAAAATGGTGGTCTCAAATATTTATCAATTATGTACTTTTAACTGAACTGATCGGTAGGAGAATTACATGTATTCATGAGTTGGGGGTTGGAGATTAAACATATACGCTACAATATCATCATTATTGGTTGCATTTTATTACTGCATATTTACAGTAAGGCCTACTTAACAAGTCTTACACAACCTAATAAATGAACTTAATTAATTATTAACTACCTCAGTGTTTATTTGTCTAAAATATTTATTCTTTAGAACATTTTATTTTTTTGTGTGCATATATTACAGTAGAACCTCGTTTTTACATACCTTATTTATATCAACCCTCTGCTTTACGTACGCCTCATACGGATGATGACGTCATCAAAAACCCCAAAATACTCAAATGGTCCATTTCAGGGCCACCATACTGTAAAAAGAGATTTGTTAGTTGTGTCTGTTCATTATTTCAATACTATAAAAATAAACAAACCATATGAAAAGAATTTTCATTCAATAGAATGTTGATTGTGTCTAATTACATGCTGATATAATATAAAACCATGAGGACTGAGCGAGGTGAATTAGGCCTACCGTCTGTGCACAAAATGATTCCTACTTCGCTTCCTGTGAAAAACTCTGATCAAATTTTTTACACAATTAATTTTGCTCTGCCAGTGCATATAAAGTGATGAATTAAATACACAGACACATGGTTTTATTTGAACATTTTATTATGACATCGTAAAGTGATGAATATAAACATTAAACGCATGGTTTTATTTGTAGGCCTAGGCTAGGTAAACACAGTTTGTTCATAACATACGTTTTTAGTGTAAGTGTACGATGAGATGATAAAAATACACCACACTAATTTATATGTAGAACTGTACAATTTATTCCAAGTGAAAAAAGATACAAAAAACAAACACACCCACCACGCACACCAACCAACCACACACACACACACACACACAAAAACCTAGTCATAATTTAAATTATTTACAATAAATTTGTATTACAGCATTAAGTGATTAAAATAATTCCATTGAATGTTGCACAAACTTCAAAACATCAAAAGGGAAGAGGGATAGATAAAAAACTTAAACCAGAAAGGGTTACTAAAATTACAAAATTGCTTGGCATATTATTTTAGGTAGAGTACTACAGTGTTACGTCACAATACCATGTGATACTACTCCGTTGCTATCGGCAACACAAAATGCATTCAACCGACGCCATTTTCTCCACTGACAAACCATTGATCGCAATTTCTAAGTGTGTTCGATAACTTATATAATGCGAACTTTTATTGTTTTTAGTACATTTTGATGGTAAATTATTAGGTTTTAAAATGCCTATTCCAGAAAGCCTATTTTAAACCATTAAGTTTATTAAGTCATTTAGGCGTAATGAACGGTAACCAACGTCCAGAGGGCGCCACCGGGTGTTGTGACGAAACAACTGTGGTACTCTATAGGTTAAGTTGTGTCTAGACCATTGCTTGGCATATATTATTACCTCTGCAAATGTATTCACTGCTGGCTATCTGTCTGTTAGCAAGATTATGCAAAACCTATCTTTATGGATCATCATAATTCTTAACCCTACTAGGAATCAAATATCAAATACTAATAAAAAATAAATATATAGTTGTTCCTCTTACAAATTCAAATTGTGGTGAGTGTACATTTCATATCAGAGCTGCTCATCTTTGGAACAATCTTTCTCACAAAATCCATAACATTTTTTATTCCATTTGTATTAATAAGTTTAAAAAAGATGCCTTTATCTGTATTCAGTAATACCTTTTCTTTTGTAATTTCTTATTTTTGTTTTTTAAGTTTTCATTTTTCTGCTTTCACTTCAGTTCTAGGCTATCTTATCATTGTTTTTAAATTGCTTTTTAGTTACTTTCAAATTTCACAATTGTAAATTTTTTTCTGTATTTTTTGTTATATTTTACTGTATGTACCAGGGCTTCCTTGAAAAGCAGTACCAGTCACTGAATGGATACCCCCTGGTTAAAGGAAACTTAAATAAATAAATATATAAAATTTAGTGGAATGTACATAATAATCTAAGAAGGAGACAGTATAATGTGTATATCTGTAGGTGGACTAATAAAAAATGATGACTAAACCAACATGTTGCTTCATTTGTTAGTGAATTTAAACTTGCTCTGACGAGTCGGTCAGGTTTTTATTATAGGTTTGAACCATTCATTATAATGGTCGAACAGACAGCTTTTTATTGCAAATTTGAAATAGAGGTTGTCTCTGAGGCAGTGGGATGCTCTTAAGATTAGGAGTATCAAGAGCATCATCATAATTTATTAGTATCCTAAGATACTGTGACAGGTTCTGATTTGGATACGCTCAGTCTGTTTGGACTGCAGAAATGTTAGTCCAAAGTGCCACAGTAGGGCAGCGTATTCTATAACAGGACATGTAACATTTGATTTATAAATGGAAGTTCTTTCTTATTCAACCCAGCTTTTTCCACGACCAAATAAGAAATAATTTTTTTATTTGCTTTCTTACAAATTGCGTCAGTGTTACCTGACCATTTCAAATTGTTGTCAAGTTTGACTCCCGACAAGTTTCAAACTTTGGTTGGTTGGAGATCGATGTCTGGAAGCATTTTTCGACCAAAGTAGATTCGCAGTGATCTGACATTTGAAAGGGTTCAGCATGGGTTTAGTCACATTGGTCCATTGATCAAGTGCATCAAGTACAATTTGGAGGTTGCTGTCAGCTCCAGCTTATGTATAGATTACAAGTTAAATTTGAAAAGGTTAAGCAGAAGTAAACTCTTGTAAAACGTGAAATAATTGCTCTATGCATACTATGCAGAATATATAATGATATCCTTTTCTATGTTTCATGTGTATGATTCAATTAGGGCTCATCACCATCTGTTGCCTCACATGGTATACTAAGCTGTATTGTTAGTAACATAAACAGAATATTTTATTATCTGATAATAACATACAAAAATAATTTTTCAGTCTCCTGTAAAAAGAGATATACCATATTGTATATCTCTTTTTGCAGAAAACTGACAAATAATATCTGGAGTAAAATATTAAAAACAAAAAAAATTAATGAACAAATTAAATTAATCCTCCTTTATGCAGTGGTGGACTGTATTGTAAAACGTAGTGTATGCTGGGGCTGCTAGTGGGAAAAATTTGATCCATTAGCCTATACACCATTTTTGCTAAATTTGAAATGAAAATTTCCGATAACCTGGCAACTAACTGGGGAGACTTTCAGTGGCCTAGCATTTTGCTCTACATACTTACCATCATGGATTAAATCAACAATAAAACTAGAAATGAGTACAAGTATATTGTCTCTTCTAGAATATTTCATTTGTCCAAACCCCTTTTGACATGCAGCAAACTATGGAATATCCCCCATACGCATCATTCCAATGACTGAGGTAAGAATGTGGAAAAGGGTTCTGAGACAGTGGGGCAGCGTATTCTATAACAGGACATGTAACATTTTATAAATGGAAGTTCTTTATGATTCAACCCAGTCTTTTCAACAACCAAATAGGATATGCTTATCTTTTTGAGCTACGAACACTAGAAATTAAAAACATTATATGAATTGCTTACCTTGAAAATTTGAAGCAAGAAAAAAAAAAAATTTAGTGTATGATTTTCCTAAGATACTGTGCCAGTTAATTATAGAGGAAAAATTTCCTCTCTAATTAACTGGCACCTACATATTAGCATTTCTATATTCATTGCTTTAAAACTCTAAAGCCTTCTTCAGACTCAATTTTTTTGGCCAAAAACATGTGAAATGCCTAAAAATGGTCATGATTGCATTACATCATGACCATATAGGAGGCTTGCCATCCTAAACCAGCATCAGCGACCCAAACAATTAAAATTTGTGTGTTAAATATATTCTTATTTTCCACATTATAAGCTTTAAAATTATTGGTCATTTTGTCGAATTTACTTGCTATTGCCAAAGTTACGAGTAAAAATATATATATGTACTAAAGCTACGATCAGCAACACATGGGTCGTGAACTAAGTTTGGGTCATGAGTGAATTTTTGAGGGTCGTGGGATCGCATCTGGGTCTCCAAAAAGTTATACGGAAAGTCTTATGTGTTAAAATTAAATGTCTAAAAACATTTTTAGTATTTGAACCCACTTAGCGAAGCTCATTTACCACTATGGGTGTACGTCCGCACACCTAGCCTACACTTATGTTTATATGTATGTTTTTTTCAGATGTTATCACTGCTAGATCTGAAATAATAATTTGAAAGACTGCTAAAAAAAAGCAAGAGCTGATGATATATAAACCTTCGGGGAACAGCCGATGCTTTTTGTAAAGAAAGTTATTGTTATATCGGCATTCTAATTTTCTAACATATTAAAAATCACATTACGCTGTATAACTGCAAAGGATTTTTTTGGTTCAACCTACTTGGTTTAATTACTCCTCAGGTCTTTGTCATTACGGATGAAAAGTGCGTTTTCTGCTCCTGGAGAATACCTCATCCACAAAGGAGATGCTCTCAATATGATTTACTTTGTTTTAAATGGTTCACTTGAAGTGCTACGTTCAGGCATGGTAGCTGCAATTTTAGGTAATGTATTTTTGGTATTTTGATTAATGCTCTACGTAGCTATTAACCTAGTTAGTTTACAAATAAAGAGACAGAAAAAAAAGAGAAAAGAAAAAAAAAAGCAGAAAGGAGAAAAATACTCCAAAACAAGCTATTTTAAAAATTTAAATTCAATGTACCACAGTCAAGCAATGTCTGTAGTCAAACATTATACACAAAAATCTCAAACTAAAGAATCACACCCTCATCATTAACAAAATTAACCACCTCTTTAGGGCAAAATACACCCCCACATATTTTGATCAAGAATAACCACCTACTGTACTCTGGCTGGAGGTCACATACATTTTTTTCCATGTAAGACTTAGGCTGTGTTTCTACTGAAATTCGAGATAGAAATGGTTCTCTTATCATTTTGATTTTCGGATTACCAAGATAAGAACCGTTTCACAACTGCATTCTGACTCCCCATGCAACAGCTGCATATTTGATACTGGACCTTAGTTCAAATTAGACCGCTATTTATGTTACAGTTAGAAACTGCCCCACGAAGAATGGTGTTTGTTTGTTTCAAAGAACGGTTCTTTGGCGTTCCCCGCCAAAAAGAATGGTTCGTTTTTATGGGCCCCATTTATACTGCCGCAAAGAATCTTTCTTAAAAAGAAATGTTCTTGAAATAGTTCTTTCTTACAGTAGAAACAGACCGGAAGTCTTAATAATGCATGCAACTACAATGTTATACACCATGTGTGGGAAATGATTCAATTCGACAGGTATTTACTAAGTTCCCATAATCAACGTTCAGTGCTCAATGACGCTGGTATTTCTCAACATATATAGAAGGAAAAAAAAAATGCACTATGCATAAAAATCCCGTTCTTGATATATTTATTTTGTTCATAATATTGTAGGCTATTTGGGAGAAACAAAATTAACATTTTATGTTAATTACCCAGGAAGACGCATTACATGTAATTTTGTATATGACCGAATAATTGAACCTTGAACATATAGTGTGAGACCATCTTGCATTGTAGGCTACAGTTGAACTTGCCTAAGTCGAATCCAAAATGGCATTGAAAAACGGTTTGGATTAGATAAATTTGACTTTGGTATATCGTTATTTAATGGAAAACACAATTTGGCATGTAAAATCAGATTGACTTAGAAATTATTTGAGTTAGGCAGAGTCGACTTAGGCAAGTTTAAGTTTATATATAGACACATCAGTGATATTTGTAAGAATACAAAATGAGTAGTTTAATTTGTGAGAATTAAGCTGTAAATTACCAAATAAGCATCCCAGCAGTAAAAACATTTTATGAAGCATTCAGTCAGCACTTAATAATTGAGTTTGGTGCTTATTACAAATTATTCAAGTGTTAAAATACGGTAGTTAATGTGTAATTATTCCATGTGAAATTGATTGTTTAATGTGTCGATGATACATTAGAGCATGTTGGGCAATATATTTTTTTTCCATTGATTTACTCTCAATTAAGGACAGTGACAAATCAGAATATACCTCTAATAAAACACTGCAGCGCTTGCTCGTGAACATGTGTTTAGTGATAAAAAAAATGTTTGGTGCGATGCTTATATGAGAGCGGTTCTTAATCAGGGGTGGCACTTACTCGGTCATTTACCGTATGCTATTTGTGAGAAACACAGAATAAGCAACATTCTTAATGAGATTTAGCCTCAATGCAAGAATCTATAATGCATAACATTTGAGACTCGTTAAGTAATTGGTATGGAAGGTTAATTTCAGTAAATTTGGTAGTAGCTTCATTATCCTAAGTAATGATATTCAGAGCTCCCAAGTCTCTTGGATTGCCTGGAATCTGCAGAAGTTCTGGTTCATCTCTAAATTTCCAGAAACTCCACATTTTCTCAGGGAATTCATAAGAAATTACAGTGTACCTACATAAATTGGCTAATTCTTATGTTGACAGTAAGGGATTGTGGAAAATTACAGGTGGCAATAGCATACTAAGAGTGACATAGACTAGCCCAAGCTTCGTTGTTTACATAATAAAAATGTTCATAATATTGTACACACGTTTTAGCTTAAGTACTGTATGTGCGTCACTAACTCCAGATATAGGACTTCACAATTTGTGACCCCTGATAAAACCTAATAATTCTTTCTTTAAGCGCTCTGAGACCCTGCAGATGGTTTGTGTATCTTTTTATGACATAATGAGCTCTATATAAATTTTTATATTGTTTATTTAATTTATTTACTGTAGAGTAAACGTAATAAATGCATTCATATAAATAAAATGTTACATATGTATGCTTATATTATTTATTTAACTTATTGCAGAATGGAAAATAATAATTAAAAAATACCAATTACCTGTTTCTGCATTTTATGGTGGAATTTTGAAGATATAATTATATTTGTATTCATAAACAATGTTGTAAATCATCAAGATAACATTTATTTCAAACATTAAAAATAAAAGTAAATACAATAAAATTGTCTGAAGCTGAATTGTAGATATAATTTTGTTGATATTTTATTCAATTGTTATACTATTTTATGTCAAAATGTGGAATGAACAATTTTAATGTCGTGATCATAATAATATTGTTATTGTTACTGCTATTGGCTTTTCCCCTGACAGTAGCAAATATTGTTCTGACGTTACTTTTCTACTAGCCCGTTCTCCTATGTTTTTGCACATTGAATTTCTGTGCTAGACCATCTTCAACCTTGGTCCAATAAAAGAACATATACCCTTGTTGGCCTAGTAAAAATGATGCCATTCTACATATTTTTGTGGCCTGGGTATAGCTTAGCTGACTTTTACAAATACTCTAAAAAAATATCAAATATATTGGTCTTGAATTAGGCATGCAGTGATTAAATTGCCATTTGATTAAAAATTGGCTCAATTTTGTGTTTGGTGGGGGGGGGGTATGGATCAGCTTATAGAGGAGCGATGGTATATAATTCTAGAAAAAGCCAATTCTTAAGCTTTTAGTAAAGAAGTTTGAGACCTTAACCATGAGCTTTTCCAACCAAAATGCATTAAGTTGTCATGTTTACAATGAACCCCAACGTTGGTTAAAAAAAAAATAGAATCCTGACTGACTGACATGAATTCAAAATTTCACAGTGCATGGCCAACACAAACACACTTTTTTTTCCCATATTACCATTATTAATAATCAATAGTTATTTTAACTTTTTTTTCCAGTTTCATTATTTTGTCAACAGGTAATGTAATGAATTACAAAAAATGTAATGAATTACAAAAATATGAATTGGAAAAAAAACCCAGCTAGTCAATTAAAGATAATTGAAGAAAACCATTCTTGGGAGTTGTAGAAGGGCATGTGACTTCTTCAAAGCGCTTCAATCATTACATTACAGATGAATGTAAAATTGATTATAATGCCGTAGAGTGTCAGGAAGAATTTAAAGCATAAATTAAAATCTAGAGAGTGAGTTTGTATTAGTTATGAATATGAGAAGAATTATAAGAACAGATAACAAACATGAAAAAAATCAACATTCACAAAAATAGGAAATCAATGAAAGAATAAGGTCACTGGCTTCCAAATTTCCACCGGTTTCAGTGGATTGGAAGTCGTTGGCCTCCTTCATTTATTGATCCCAATTTTTATGAATACTGAATTTTTTCGTACGGATTAAAAAAGATATAAAAATACAAAACAATAAGAGAAGAAGGCCAATGACTTGGATAATCTAGTCTAATGGTTGGCAATAGAATATATTCACCTGTCTTTCATTACTATTATTAAAATGCTTGAACGTGAGTGCATCTAAGTGGCGTTTATTCATGACCATGTAGTTATAAACCACATTTTCTGTGGAATCAATGAACATGTTAGTTAACAAGTCATGTCAAATCAATTTTATTGTCCAAAATTTGAAATTCATCTTCAATGTAACCAGCACCATGTTTGGCTGACTTTGGTTGGTGGACTAAGGGGGGTGTGATAATGTCAGTAGATGTCAGCAAGGTCCAGGAATGAAGTCCTGATGGAGTTTAGGGGATGGGGGTGGGGGTAATGGCCATTGAAGAACAACAATCAAATCTTCATTGGATATATAAAGCACAAATAGGAAGTATGGACACTTACTAATAATGATACTGATAATTCTTTATTCGTCATAAAAAGTACATTTTTATGAAAATGGCTTTCCGTGGCAAGGCATAATAAATACAAATAGTATAAATAAACTGATATCCATTATAAAAGTGAAAAAAATATGCTCAATCTATGGAATATTTTTTTATTCTGTTGTATTTCTTGTGAAAAAAAAATAGTGTCCTGGTTCTTAACTTTAATAGAGGTTTCATAGGGTTGGGATTGACCATTTGGCACACTTCGGAAATGTCTGCCCCCCCCCCCCATCCACTTGATATGGTTGTCCCCTTATTACTGTAGGTGTTGGCTGTAGTGGTGTTGTGTTGGCTGTAGTGGTGTTTTGTTGTTTCTCTTCATATTAATTTGATTTTATCATCATATTATTGAAGCATCTTATAGACCAATACTAAAGTTTAATTTTGTTATTTATAGGTAAAGGTGATCTGTTTGGTTGTGACCTCTATGACACCGACTCCATCATCCAATCAAATGGTGACGTACATGCCTTGACATATTGTGACATTCAGTCGATTTCAAGGTAAAAAATAATTTCCAAAAATAACGGCACACTTTATACATTGTTGTTTTATGGTAATATTTTATGTGTAATAGTAATATATTTAACATTATTGTATTTATTTGTTTATTCTTTCTTCAAACTGCAGGCACTTTCAGTACTTGTATATGCCCTATTGGTTTTCAAAGTGGTACATTTACAATGAAACAATCAAAATAAATTAAAAAAAACAACACACAAAATAGAGTCTACAGAAAATTCAATGTAAAACCTATGAATTAATAGAATTTTGGAATGAAACTCGCGTCATTTCTTAATTAATTGTTGTTTCATTTGGAACTTCATTCCAACTTTTGATGAATGATATAAAAAATGTTCTTTTACCATGGCAAATATTCCAAGGTGGTACAATTAAATGATAGGATGAAGTAGTTACCTGCACTGACTTTAGGCCTAGTTTAATATAGTAAATATTTATTAACTTTCTTTCAAACAAAAAACAAATAGAGTAAACATTACTGAGCATAACATCTGAAAAAAATTGCCCAGATAAATTACAGTCCAACCAGTTTCTAGAAATTAAAAATTAAAACATAAATCATGATTAGAAAATTATTTTCTGAAACACAATTATCTTTGTTTTTTCCTGTTCAATATTACGCAATAAGATCAAATGTCAGAACACTTAAAATAGACCATGAACTTCTGAAATCGATAAATAAATAAAGCTCCTTAATTGCCCAAATCACCAGAGCTTCCACAAACTTTTCCCCATGGACCTCATCAGGGTCGTGCAGTTCTGTGTTATTTGTATTTTCAAAGTTGATGAAAGGATAATGTTTTCGGATCATTAATTACAAAATTACTGATACAGTAGATAATAATTTTTATGAATTATGAAATTCTGAAATAAAAAATATGAGTTTCTCAAATCCCTAGTGTAGCAAAAATGTTATCCCCTTTTGACATGCTGTAAAGTGTTGGTTATTTGCTTATACAGTATTTGCATTGTCCAACAGAGCTAAAGTTGAAAATCATAATGGTATTGATTATTGAATGGTGAATGTGAATTGAATATTGATTGTTGAGATTTGAAATCATATATTGACATCAACATCAGTGATTTTTAAACTCTTACCGCTCTAAATAAATGCATAAGAATGAGAACATTCATAATCCACTTTATCTAGATCTCATCCATCAGTGTTGATAATATTTTCATTCTATCTTATTAATTCACATAAACAGCTATTGTTTATGCATTATATATTTTTTTACTTTATTTGAATGGTAATAATTGAAACATTTTTTTTTGTATTCAAATTTTCTAGGCAAAGTCTACTTGAAGTTTTGCATAATTACCCAGAATACTTAGAGTCATTTAAAGAGGAAATTGCAAGGGATTTAACCTTTAACCTTAGAGAAGGGGCTGATTATGAGGTAAGAGAATATGTATAAGAATAAAATAAAAATTAATAGTTCACATAAAATATTAATTTTATTTAATGAGCTAGATGCTTAAATAATGCAATTGTTACAGTTTAATTGAATTTTTTTTTTAATTTTCGTTTATTGGCAGACGGATAAAATAGCCTTTGGGAATACGGAAAAGAACATTGCACGAAGCAGATTACCATCAATCAATGAAGATGATGAGGACCATGAAGCAATAGATACTAGAAGCAATAATAGTGACACTAAAACCATGGAAACAAGCTTCAAGGAAAAAGGCGGTCATCTGGAGGTGAACACAAGCAGTGGTGGCGGTGTACCACCGGAATTAAGTCCAAGGTGAGAATACATTTTTATTATTATTATTTATCAATATTGTTATCATTAATATTATCTTATTTTGATGTGAGTTTGCATCAGGAAAATATCATAGGAGTGATGTTTGCTCTACCTGACGTGTTGTCGTACTGAATCTCGGTGCGATTAGGTACACTAGGGCAAAACAACACTTTCCTGATGCAAACTTACATCAAAATAGCATTTGCACTACCTGCTGCTACTTGGGGAGTCAGATCCAACACTAGTCACTAAGTGCAAGCTCGGTGGTCTAGTGGTTATGACACCAGGCTAGTTATCTGGAGATCGTGGGTTTGAATTCCACCCAAATCACTTGCAAATTTATTTGTTCGCAAGTATTTGGGAATGTACTGAGACAGTTCTGGTAGGGCAAAACATCATTCCTATTAATATTGTCATTATCATTGTTTATTATCATACTGATACTGATCTTATTACTCTATTTTTTTTTTTTTTGGGATACAGGTAAAACATATATTTACATGTGTCTCCATTTGTTGTAAATTGTTTAGCATGGTGGTTGTGTCTGCCTTTGTATCTCAGGGTTGACTCTCGGCAAACTTATTAGCATTTTCTTCATAAGTACAAGCAACTCTCTCCAATCTTGTTTTGGCAGGTTTAGTCTTCATTTTTTATGTTGATGAATTGTTTCAACTTAACATTTTTTAGGGTTGTTGATGGAATTGAGGATGAAAAGCAGTACAAGTGTCAGTCATTTGATTTCCATAATTCGATGCATCCTCGACGAAGAGGCTCTTCTATTCTAGAAAACCGAAAGGGGATCATTGAACAGTATGAAATGGATATGCACAATTACACATCACCCCAACTTGCAGTTCAAAGGTCATGTTCTTCAGAATCCATGAATACTGAGGAACTTCGACATGAAATTGAATCCACACGAAATAGTGTAGAAAGGCTGGACAAGCAGGTACAGTATAATTAATTGTATTTACAAGTGGCTTTAGCAGTGGCTGATCAGGGATTTGCAAAAGAGGAGTTCTCTTCCTGGCAGTAGCCTATCTAACCAAGACAAGAAATAAAAATTTATTTTTAGGGAGCATTCCTTTGGACATTTCAAAACAGGCACTTCCCAGCCCCCTTCCTTCCTGCTCACTCTCTGACTGTAGGTCTTTGATTGCTACTCGCTCCCCCAAACCCTGGATTTGCCACTGCTTAGGCATTGGCAATATGGATACACATGTTGTACAAGAATGTGGATTCAGTGGCGTAACGCCTATGCGCTCTCATGTGGCGGTCCGCTGGGTTATTGTCGGAGATCTTACTTCATCTTTTTTTTTTTATTCTACCTCTGTCTCTTATACACATCTCTTGTAATCCGTGCCGACTTTACCGTTAAGCAAGTTAATTTACCGTTATTCTAGTAAAGTTAAGTCACTTAACTTAAGTGACTTAATTCCTTTATCTAGCTATAATTGAGTGGTTCACGTCAAACTTTTAACTAGTTAAGTGGATGTATATCTAGATAAAATTTCGACGTGAACCAAACTAATGTGTGTCTGAAATCAACTGTAGGACATATCATATTATTTCCAGTGGCGGAATAAAGAGTGTAGGGGAGTGGGGAGCTGCCGGTCCGGGACCAACTAAATTTGTCAAAATATTTTTTAACTGGAGATAAAAAGAAAATTCATAATTCTGTCTGTGCTTTTTCCGGCCATGTAAAGGTGCCATATTCATAAATTTATCATTTATTTGTCGTTAAAAAAATTAAAAAATAACAGTGCATACCTAAAAATCCCACGATGGAATTGGTGACCGGGACCCAAAAAGGGCCCCCAGTTTCAGAAATACACAGGGCCCCGGCCCCATCGTTACGCCACTGTGTGGGTTCTGCAGGATTTTTTGGCATGCTAAAGTAAAAAAAAAAGTTAAATTTATTCTTAATACAATTCTTATTTATGTAGCATGCCTTTTGTGCATATAAGTTTGCATTACTTGGTTATAATTTCTAGTAGATCTTCAGTAAGTAATTACAATTCAAAGCCTTGTTAAGTCCTTTGTCATGTCCTGTGGTAAATTGATATCCTATAGCTTGAGTTTCAAAATGGAAAACCTTTGAAGAATGAATGTGTTAAATATCTGATAATGTATTGGATTTCTCTTAACCAATTGAGTATATTATTTTTCATGTAAATTGCATGAAATGATACTTATGACAGCATCATAATTTTGCTATATATGCAGTGGCTTAATCTAGGAGTATTAACATGGGGGATGGGGAGGCTGGCAGGAGTGCAAAGGTTAACTGGTGGGGGAGGGGCTTGATGATATTGGATTTCTCTTAAGCAATTGACTGTAAATGATGATGTTCTTAACTACTTTAAACATAATTTTTTTTTGCTAAGCAAATATCTAGTAAGTGATATTTGGAGGGAGGAAGACCTTGGGGGAGCAAGGGAAGGCATGTGCCCAAAGCCCCCTGATATGCCACTGTATTGATTATTCTTCACAGAGTTTAAAATAACAGGCATCAGTACTAAATCCGCCAATGTACCATGAACCTTTCAACTTAAAAAAATAGATCAGACTAATGATAACAATCTTTCTATTTCCAGGTATTTAATCTCAGTCAAGACGTCACCAACCTAAGTCAGGATTTGAAATCAATTCTTAGGCTTCTTCATGTAATCTCCCCACTACCGCCCTCACCAAATAGTCCTGAAGTCCAGGGGACAAATCACTTGCAAACACATCCAAAAGTGTTGACTGTGAAAATTGAACAAAGTGGAAACCAAAGATATGAGGATATTATCCATGTACAGAGACAAGATGGACTCTTGGAAACCAGTATTGGTAGTGGGATTTTAGGCAATCTGGACAAGGAAACCGTCCCAGAAAAGCAGTCCAGTAAAAACCCAACAAATGTTACCTTACTTCCGCAACCGTCAGACAGACCCGAATTGGGGAGGGCGGTGGCAACTGCAAAGTCACGGGAGGATGACTCTGGACAGTACGATTCAGAAAATGGAACAGAACTGTAGATGGCGTCAAACTATGGCATACGACTATGAGACATTTTAGAAATACTGTACATCCAGCAAAGGTTATGGGGTCATCATTACAAACAAAGATGATTTTGAAGCCTATGCTGTTCTACTAACAAAAAAGTTAATTACAGAAGTGGTGCCAGCGTAGTTGGGGGCTGAGGGAGGGGGACAGGGCACATGACCCCTGTCAGGAAAAGAAGGCAATCATTTCTTCAGGGAACACTGTTTTGCAAAAGCATTTTTAGGGTCTGAAAGGGATATTCAATGCATATTCTGAAAATTTGCTCACCTTAGCCTCCTAAAATATGTTGATGGTTTATGTATATTGTGTGTCAGGGATACCTTATACCCTATTCAGGCTACACTGAGTCATTGGGATCGGTTGCGATGTAGTCGGTGGTAATTCAAAACTCCCGATAGCCACCAACAATTGCTACAACTGATCACAATGCAATGCTAGTCTGAATAGGGTATTAGATTGTGCTTTGGGAGATTCTCCAGTGCCACAGCTCGTAAATTGAAACCATAGATTTGAATCACACCCAATGTGAACAATTACAGTAGTCTTGTGTAATCAAATCTAAACCTAAAGAAACAAAAAACAGCAAATGTTATTCATTTTAATTGGTATTTTGGATTTTTATGTATTTTCCACTCAAATTTTTTACGTGTGAAAGCAAAAATGTAGTGGATTTATAAGAAGCTTAAATGCATTTTTTTCTGTTACCTTAAATTATTTCTTAAAAATTGCAAAAAAATCTGTTTGCATAAAAAATGTTTTCTGATCCTTATTATTCAGCATCTGTGTAGTGGCTAAAAAATGTTATGCACTTAAATTTTAAAGAATATAATTTTTATACGAGCATGCCTGTTGGTAAAAATGATAGAGAATGATGGAGTGATAGTTGCGAATCTTGAAATATACAGTAGGTTAAGTAATATGCAAACTAACAAATAACGAACAAACATATTCTGATGAAAAAGACCAATAAAAACTGGATAACGATGATTATGATGCTGATGGTGATTTTTCAATACTGTATAAAAATTTGATATTGAGGTATAATTCTGTTGTGTTCTTGATTGAGGGTCAAGTTGAAGGTTACAGTAGTTCAAGCGGTGTGTAAGTAGGAAATTATGTTAAATGACATGAAAGAATAAATGTGTGTATCTTTAGCTCGCTATAATGCTTCGTTTCTTAAAGTCGGGCACTCACTACATTGTACGATGGTCGTACGGCGGTCGGCCGATGAATCCAACTCCGTTCCCTGTGAACGCTAGACGATGTGACACCATCTACTGATGTCGGTGGCTGTCTGAACGGATCGTCATTACATTGCATTCTCCATGAATCGCGTCGGCTAATGGCAGTCGGACATAGTGAGTGCCCTGCTTAAGACAGTGTGTGTTAAATGTTGTAATGGGCTGTGTGTGGTGATGAGTGGACCATAGATTTATTATAAGAAAATTTGATTGCTAACTAAACAAGGCCTTCAAGAAATTACACTAACACCTTTCTCGAATAAGATCCACGCTATTTAAATTGCTTTCAGCCCTGAGGGCTTCAGGCAATTTTTTCAGGAAATAATGGCTCCTTTCTGCTTCTATTTCTTATAGGGTACTTAATTACTTGACTATAACTGCTTATTAGCATTGCAATAAGTCAGGTAGGACTAATTATGTGCAGTAGATGGCGCCTTTAAGACTACAATAATTTAGAATATGCACCTTTATTGAATGAGTGCCCAACCAAATCCCCAAAAAATGTTACGTTTAATGGAAAATTTACAATATCTATTTTCCCTCCAAATTGTTGCACAGATATGTCTTCACAGGAGTTGCTTATAGCAGTATCTCGTCACGGCAGTATTGATTGATGCATGCTGTACTATTTATAAATATGGTTGTGCATATTCTACTGCCATGGAGGCGTATACACTCCCAAAAAGCTTACATTTTAGATAATGGAATACATTTCGAGTATTCTTATAATAATTGTATGGTGTGTATGCAGTTTGTGCTTGAGAATTTAAACATAGAGAGTTTAGAGCAAATTTAATGATCATACTATTAAAGCTTGGTTTCCATACAATCGCTACACAGTCGCTACAGCATTTTTACTGCAATCCTTGCACTGCGTGGCTTTCCCAGACACAATCGGGAACACTCCCTCATTCAAAGGACCAATCAGCATCGCTAAAGTAGACGGCGATAGCGCGTAGTGATTTTTATGGAAACCAAGCTTGAATGTACCAAATCAAGATCTTTTTTAAGGTTTTAGAATTCACAAAAAGTCCCTATTTAATGTTTGCCCTTATGCCATTAAATAAAATAAAAAATTGCCTACAGTAATTTGTATAATATTGATGTTCTTTTAATGTTGATAAAATTAAATTTTATCTTTTAAATTATTGACGATCATTTAACTAATATTTTCCAATATGTTTACAGCTCTTCAGGCCTTGTTATTAAACTAAATGTAGTGTGCATATTGCAGTAACGCATTTATCCAGAAGTTAATAATACTGTACATGTAAATAATGCTGATCAAATCAACCTCATTAAACTACTATAGTTCTGATAAACATTTGATTTCATGGACAGTTTTATAGCACAAAAGTATTACTATTATCACACAAATATGATTTATACAGGTCATGAAAACGATTTTACTGTTAAAAAAGTGGTATTTAAAGATATATTTATATAAACTTTATATTTATGAATATATAATTATTTATAAATATATCTCACAAGGATATATCAGAAAAGTAGTTAAAAAACAATCAGCATGTGTCAGTAAATAATTATTGAGTTTTTTAAATAAAAATGTGATTTTGATATATTTTTTAAACAGGTTTAGTCTGTTAATACATGGTAAATTTATATTAACAACACACTGAAGGAATTTCTCTTTGATGCTAAACAATGCTTAACATGATTCTTGCAATAACACAAATTTAGTTGTTTGTGGCAACCACAAACATTCACTAATACATCATCATTATTATGACACTTTGTCTCTAACTACCTTCTCGGACAGACATTAATATTACAAAAAAATAACTGCACAAAAGTAAAAACAATTTTAAGACTTTTGCATTACATTGATATATACAGATTGCTATTGTAGTTTTTTTGTTGTTATGTTATGTTGGGGTTTTTTACATTCTGGCTTCTAATGCTTCTGTTGACATTGATTAATGCACAAAATAAATATGCCTTTTACTTCATTTTAAATATGGTTGTACTTTCACTTATGAATATCATGAACAATTTTAACTTTATATAAATATAAAAATGCAACATGTCATTTGTAATATTGAGAATGTTGTACTTTTTTATTTTTTAATGCAGGAAAAATATGCTCTTTGAGACATTGAAATACTTCTTTATCTTGTCATGTGTTGTCAGTCTGAGAGATATCTTGTCATATATTTTTTTTAAAGCGATTGGCGTAGCAGTTATGTTTCATTCTCCCAACCTTCCTTGAGGTCGGATGTTCCAACTTTTGCTGTGAATTTCGCTTGTGTCCTTGGGCAAGGTACTTTATCTATGTTTGTCTCTCTCTCCACCCAGCAATATAAGTGGTACCTGGTGTGATGATGTGGCATTGAATGTATCAGTCTGCGCCGGCATTAAATTGCCAGCATGACTAGGAATACTCCCAAGGAGTGGAGGAGGTTGCACTGTGTGCCGGTTTGCCAAATGACCAGGGGTAATAATAAAAAAAAAAAAACATCGCCTGCGCCTTGTAAACCTAGGCAAAATGTGCGGTAAAAATCCCTATATTATTATTATTATTATTATTCATTTTGAAATTGTATAATGCGAACATCATTTCAAAAATCAGATTTAAAAAATAAAATTTATGATATTTTAAAGTATACAGTTATTGATAAGAAAAAAAATGATCAAATGGTGGTTTAATACATGTGTAAAATTAACTAATTAAACCTTACAATCGTTGGTGCTTTTCAATGTATGTATTAACTAAACTTTCAAAAAGATGTTTTTAAATTATTTGACTATTTCAAATGAGTACATATTGGTACATAATTTACTAAATATCAAAATTCAGAGTACAAATTCTCGTTTTGTCTTGCTGGTGATTGTGATCCTCGGTTTTTTGACATATTAATTTATACCTTTTTGATGTGTGTTTACATCAGGAAAATATCGTAGGAGTGATATTTTGCCCTACCTGACGTGTTATTGTACTGAATACTCAGTACGTTCCAAAATATAATTTCCAAAAAATTATTTCATGATTTTAATTTTGTTTTGTTGATATTTGTAATGAATCACTTTCTTCCATTGAATCATCTGTCTGTTGCAACTATCAAATCAGTTTCGAAAATCTGATGTTTTACTCAACTATAATCTTAAACATTAGCACACAAAAAAATAGTAAAATATTATTTTACTATTTTAGGGAAATTGGCACAGATAATAAGTGTTATTTTAATAATACTCTATTGGGATATAAGGTATTCAGTTTTAAGCAACAAACAAACTTATATACAGTAGTTTGTGCTCTGCTAATATTTATGAACAAAGTATATCACATCTTTTGGATGAATCTTTCAGAATTATATACTTTTAATTATTGTGTGGAGTGTATCATGGATTACACCATGTTAATGAATTTTTTGTTGAAAAAAATCAAAACTGTTAAATACGCAATTATCTTAAATCATAATAATATGTAAAATATGTTTTTAAACATGCTTGTTATTAAACTATTTTTTCAACATTTATTTATTTATATATTCCTTGGCCTGTACTGCCATTGACTTTAAGTATGTGCCTGCCTACAGTATTTTCCAATTGATATAAAAGTTGTTTAATATATTTACCTTTTTATCTCTTGTACATATGTTATAGTGCAATGTTTTATTGTTAAATTTATTGCAAGTATCATATTTAAGAGCATGTATATAATGATACTCTTTTTGTAATTATGCATTCATTGGGTAATTGTCCTCAATTTCTTAACTCATGTTCATCACCCATGTCGTTTTCATTGTTGATTGGGCGCCATATTGGAGAGCATTAAATATCAATACTGAATTTAATTTAATGTGTCTTTTGAGTATTTTGTTGGTTTATTCAGATATAACGAGCTTCTGCATCTAATTTTCTTCAAGATAATTTGAGAAAATAATGATATGCTAAATTTTAATAACTGATTAAAGCGTAAATTGGAAGTACATCAAAGGGGATAGGCAAGGAAAGGCAACTTATTAACATTCCTGAAATAAAAAAACGTCTTCAGATTTTTAATTCATTTAATAATGAATGATTGAAAGTCGCTTGTGTCCTTGGGCAAGGCTCTTTATCTACGGTTGTCTCTCTCCACCCAGGAGTACAAATTAGTGGGTACCTGGTAGGTTCAAACATAGCCTGCTCTGAATACAGCTGTGACATTGTGGAATTCCCCCATGGGGCCTGTGTGTGTTCATATGTGCTTGATCCTGTGACCGGTGGGGGGGGGGGGGGGGGGGGGGAATAATGTACGCGGGGGGGGGGGGGTGGGGGTAATAATGTAAGCGCATAGAGGTCTCTACAATATGCGCTATATAAGTCGGCAATTATTATTATTATTAATACCAATCCTCAGGACAGAAAGCCAATAAAAGGAATAATAATATGTAAGTAAAACGGTGACAATAGCCTACAATGTAGAATTAATAGATACGTACGGGGAGAAAATGTATTGAGGAATGGAGTTGCATAACTTAATGATTAAGATGCTTGCCTTTTTATTCCAGGGTCTTGGGTTCAAATCATGTGATGGTAGGACTTTTTCTCACGACGAAAAACAACTCCACTCCCTAGCCTAATAATTTTCGAGTTGCTGTATGCGAAAGAACTTTTTTTTTATGAAAGAAAATAAAGAGGTGTTTTAAATGGTAGATGAACGACGAAATTACTAATAAAACAGAGACAGAAAAATGGATAGTCGATGTACAGCGAGATGAAAACTAACATGTTTATCTTAAATCAGGATGAACGATGAAGGTATCTGATGGTTAATATAGAAAAAAAAGTACAGAGGAAGAAAATGTATCGGTTTCTTCAACTATCTGACAGATGAAGACTGATATAAAATTAAATAGAGAAGATCAGTAATAAACTTCTTGGAAAATGCCTTAGGATCTGACAACAAGATAAAGAGCGTGGCCACAACTATTCTAAGTCGTTGATTACGTATGACACAAAGTGAAGAGTGTTATTCCTCAAACGTGGCGGCTCCCCTGCCCCTCCATATCTTCCCTAACCCTAAATACGCCACTGACCAGAGCACCCTGTGTACTTTTACCCACGACGGTGAATAGAACACCCGTCACACTCAGTTTTAACATAGAGTTCCAAAACTGGGTTTTCATAATTTTAGTTACTAGGCCTACTCAAAATTATCTTGAAAAACGTTGAATAGAGTAACCTAAAAATGAATGCAATATGTTCTAACGAGGCACATGCCATATCCAATTTATTATTATTAATGGTTCTCTTTATTCTTCTGTCTATTAATATATCGGTGTCGCCCACTCCGTTAATCTGAAATGGCACTCAATATTGAACATCACAAACCCATTTGCTTTATCAAACGTAATGCAATAATTAGCCCAATTCTTGAATAGTTATCTGGAATCCTCATCTTCAAACTAACATTTTAAAAATTGAGTCAAGATCCAAGGGCACCTCAACCGAATTTTTCGAAAGTCTGCTAGATGTCCCAATAAGCGTACTAGGCCTATAGGATATTGAATTTAAAAAACAGACATGATGACGTTAAACGAAAATCTTTATAGCAATCAATAACTTTTCTTTGCCTTATAATCTTATATAAATTTATTAATGACTAGGCCTATTAAAATTTATTTCATGCAATACACGTCGAACCGATCATTTACACTTCACCTTCCCTCTGCCCAATGAGCCCCTTCTTTGGATGGATTTATCACCAAGGATAACCCACGAAAGTCTGAAGAAGACTTATTTCCAGTGGGGGCCTTCTGATGGTCATTGAGCAGTACACCTGAAGACAATCCCCTCTTATTCGTGAGTGCACATGGGTCAACGAACGTCTAATCCGAAAGACGCGGAACTTGCATGAGCCCGCCTCCAACTGATATTACAAGGAGAGCAGTATAGGAATTGAACCGGGGACCAACTTAGATCTTCACGGTTCAGCGCATACGCAGTGGCTACCACCATTTTATCACCACTGAGCTACAGTAAGTTGCTCTTCTTTCGTCGTATTCCAGCCATTTCATTACAATAGTATTTCAATAATTGCTGCTTACATTTATCATTGTAGATTCTTTAAAAACTGATATCGACCACCGGCAGCAAGCCAATTGCATAAATATTTTTAATTGTTTAGTTACATGTTAATTAACTTATTTATTTTACTTACATTTTTATGTATTTATTTATTATTCATTGATCATATTTTATTAAATTTGTCACCTCTGTATTTTATTGTCATTATTAGTTAACTTAAGTACAACTTATGCACAGTGTACTATATATGGACTTGATTGTGTGATAGTGTATGTTATTCTGATGATAAGCACTATCCATGTACAAGAAAGTGTTCCATTTGTTGCCTCTCTCTCTTTAAGGTTAAAGAAAGATTAAGATTTCCCCAAATACGTAATATTAAATCCTCCAGTCAAGATTTATTTAACTGTTTAATACTTTGTATGTATATATGTATATAGTAAGTTATAGCTTTTACCGTCTCTCATTAAAATTTTTCCGTGTTTATTAGGGCCTTAAATATTGTAATACCATTGGCTGATAATTAATTAAAGGTAATTATAAGGCCATACCATTATTGGCTTTCGTAGTGAATAGTAAATTACTAATAATATGTATTATTATTAATTATTACACCGAAATTGTGACTGTGGTGTTTGCCATTGTTTTTTGAAGTACTATCAAAATTGTGCAGCACGGGCTTGTCCTACATGATTTGTTCAAGTGATTCGAGGGAAAACCTTTATAGAGGGCGATGTAAAGGATGTAAAGCAACAGCGCCACCCAATAAAATCTTGTAACGAAAGCTTTCTGTATGCAATGTAGGCCTGAGCCTCAATTCAAAATATTCAATCCCTACCTAAGACATCAGAAAATAACATTTTAGATTTAAATTTTTAAAAAACCGAGCACTAAATTATTATTTTGTTTATCTTGATTTCTAAATGAATGGCCTATTGTCGTAGGCCTGTCTGTTGGAAATTCTTTAAAAAAAAACTAATCTTGCCAATTTTTTCCCGGTTGCCATTGGATTGATTTTGTTTCCTTAAAAAAGGTCTTTGCCAAAGCCAATGGATGCATCATACTCTCTTCATGATGCTACCGCATCCGTCCATCAAATACGAAGCTCAACATCTGACCCACTGAAAGCATATATAAAAGTTCTGATGTTTTAATTATAGCCTACCTACATATGTTGATTTTGTATTATAATGTATTTATATTTGCATTAAAAAGTATTGTTACAAATTAATTAAATTCTATTGTAAAGCTCCTTCTGATGTCACTATCATCATTTTACATTTGTTGAATAAAAAAAAACAAAAAAAAAACAAAACAAACAAACAAACAAACAAAAAACAAAGTAATAAATAAATAGATAAAAAAAAGAAGAAAAATCCCATAAACGGGAAAATGTTAAGTTCGGTCGACCATAGAGAAAGAATATATTTTCTGTTTTCTTTCTCTATGGTTCGGTTAATATCTCTAAATTGGGGTGGGCAGGCAGGTAGGTAGGCCTGTCACGCCAAAATCATCAGAAGAGACAAAAACTATTAATAATTATAGACACTTGTTTTGGCCGTGTTCCCTTAAAAGGTGTTCAACAACACTGTGTTTTCTAAGGTGTGGTCAGTGGTGAAAATAGGTCCATGGTATAATATTGCCCGGTAGGCGATGCGGTGATGTTGTTCACCCATGGAGGAATTCATCCCCAATAATGAAGGAAACCGCCTTTCGCTGATTCTCTAGCAATATTTTGATATGCGCCCTCTATACATACAACCCCTAGCAGATCCTATATAATTTTTATTGAGACGTAATCAAACATGGCGATGTAATTCAATGAAAACATTATTAAAAAGGCAAGTCGTATTGTACATGGTTTCTCAATACCATTTAGGTATGTTATCAGTTTCTACGATGATTAACCATTGAGTTAATATAGTTTGTTGAAAAATTATTTTTTAGCTGTATTTCTAAACTTGCCAGGCTTCGTTGCTCTCTGTCTAGGCCTAGCCTAACTAAGGCCCTAGGCTAGCTAGGCCTAGGGCCTAGCTAGGCCTATGCTATAGGCCGCCAGACCTACCTAGCAAGGCCTAGGCCTAAGCATAGCCTACACAGCTGAGTCAGGTCAGGGTTAGTAGGGGAGTGAACACTTCACTCCACATTGTGCGTGGCAGGGTGACTTGTAACTCATTAAAGCAATGCTTACTATATTAAATCATAGGAAGAGGGTACCGAGGAATGTTGTGTGGTGTAACCTCCGATCCGGTCTAGCAATATTGTGTTACTTAAACACGGGAGACACCACCAAATAATAATACTACAACAGCAAATGATTAGCATGTATGAACATCATTTTATTCTCGCAACGAGGCATCACCATAGTCTGTCTACCGCCTTCCCGCGGTAACTCATCATGTGACATTACGTCACTTACCCACAATGCAAAACAATAACAATTAATAGTAACTCCCGTTACAGTGGTCTAGGCTAGGAATAGGCCTAGGCCTATACTTATGACTCCTAGCCCTAGGCCTAGGTCCTAGACTGATGAGTTTACAAAAAATTAAAAGACGAAAAAAAGAAAGAAATGTGGACCATTTTATAATCCTAGGGGCCTAGGCCTATATAGCCTAGAATGCTGGTCACTTCGGCCCAAAATCAAATCGTCCCAAATCAATTTGGCCAAAACCAACTTGGACCAAAACCAACTCGGCCCCAGACGACACTTCGGCCCAAAACCAACTCGGCCCCAAACCCACTCGGTTATTAAATAGTTGGGTGGTACCCGTGTTGTGAATTGAATAGTTGACTTTTATTGTCAGTTTTTGCAAGGTGCTGTGTTCATCGAAAAACATATTGGGTGTTGCCAAAAAGTTTACCAACAAAATTACCAGAAATAACAGTAGTGCACCTGTTTAATTCCAAAGTGTTTAGATTTACTGAAAAAAACACAAAAAAACAAAAAAACTCCTGCTGGGGCAGCCAGCCTAAAATAACAGTAGGCCTACTGTTTACTTTAAAACTTTTCATTCGTGAATTGAAAAAAAACTTTGTATATTATTATTAGCCAGTTTGAATTAAATGTACCTGAATAAATCTGTATAGGCCTATTCGTGTATTTTGTTTTGCTTTATATTCATACAAAGCAAATATACATTATTTTATAAATGTTAAGATTCTTCTAAAAGATAATTAATGTGACTAGTAATAATTTGGATAATATAAAAAATAAGTAATAAGAATAGTAATAGGCCTAATGAAAAATAATATTAGGCCTATCCTATGATATTAATAATTATTATAATTTAATTTGGATAATATAAATAATTTAAGAATAGTTATACTATTACTAAAAAATAATATTAGACCTAGGCCTATAAATATAATTATTAATTTATAATAATACTAAAATAATAATATTGTCTTTGGGTACTAGGTAATCGCGATCGCTATTCATCTGGGTAATTCCATATCATTTGAGTGGTTGTCTTCTGGGCCGAGTTGGTTTTGGGCCGAAGTGTTGTCTGGTACCCTGCTACCTACTGTATAGCCTAGGCCTAGTCTTGGGCCTAGCCTCGGGCCTAGGCTTGTTGGTAGACTGAGAGTGCAATTTTCTACTCCATGTCTCTGTTTCTAAGTGGATCATCTTGGAATTAGGAAGCCAAGTGTTTATATAATGTTACATTAATTGAAATAATGGTCAATATTTGATACCAACCTTTGTTGCTTTGGACACAAACTTATACCCCCTCTACTCAAACCACATGACAGCGACCATGTTTTATCATTAAATTGTTAATTCAGAATTAATTTTTTTTATAAATTCATAATTTATTACCTTGAATGACATTATTATATTACTCATAAAAAAAAATGTTTATTTTTGTTGATGGATTTTAGTTGAGAGCAATACCTAAGATAACATAGAATATGATGTTATTAGCCCAAATGTGTACAGATTGCAAAGTTGCTTAAGCTTGTACGAATATATCATCATTATTATGGCCATATACAGTATGATCACATCACACAAAATTGTCACATAAAATTTGATAGTGTAGAGCCATATACAGAGCGTTATGGTATAGCGGTAAACTACATTTTATTTCTTCTTGTCGTTCCCTTTTCTCAGCCAATGGTTGGTACTTCCGAAGATCATCTCTCCATTGAAGTACTGTACCTTCATCTGAAAATTGAATTTGAGAAAAGAAATTTTTACCAATTAAAAGACATTTAAATTTCCAGCCATTGCATGTACCCTTAAATTTCTGCCAGCAGATTTTAGGACTTTTGTAGTAAACATCTGTACTAGTAAATCATTGAAAACTGATTGTTTTTTTGGATTTTTGTGATATTCCAAATTGGTAGCTCATAAGAGGATTCCTTTAAATGAATAATTTAAAGTATTATATTAATTTTTTAAGGTGGTTTTAAAATTTTTTGGTTGTTAAAAATGTAATTTTTTTTGGTTGGTAAACTACAGACTAGTAGTGGCAGACCATCAATTGATGCAACGTATGCATTGGATACCAAAGCTAAAACTAACAAAAAAATGTCCAGCTTTTTTCCATTTAGCATTTCTTGGCCAAAATTTACTACCTTGATTTTTCAAATTGATCCCTACTGTACATTTCATTGGAATGGCTAGTTTTTCTTGAGTCTTTTTAGGTCTACTTTGGTATCTAGAATCAGTCACATTGAACCTGTAACATCATACTCTCAGCTGCTTTTGAACTTTTTTTTCAATACCCAGCCAATCACCTATTTAGCGAATCAACATAAGTGAGAAAATACAATAACTTTGACTACAGTAAGCCTTTTTAGGCCTCCATTGCCGAATGGGTAATTTGTATTATCCCGACATTCTAAAATCCCATCTATGTTTATGATGGTGATGACGAACTAAACATTGTCACATGATTCCAAGATGTTAAGTGTAGTATTCCTTTACTGTTGCATAATTACGCACTTTACAAACTTTTACAACATACTGTAGGGAAATCCTATTTTCTTGAATACTATGAATACTACATGGCAATAATTTGATAATTGTCACTTAAAATATTAAATAATGTCACTTAAATATGCAATTACGCATTTGATAATACACCTCGGTCGTTTAGTTGAAACTTTATTTAATAATAGTTTAATAATATCAAGAAATTTTGGTATTATACTGTTACTAAAGGTGATTAAATTGCATTGATAATATTAATGATAATGTACTTATTATTATGCCAATCTTCAGTGCATTTAGCAAAATACCTCAATGCATTTTTACAAGTTTTTTACATTTTTACAGCTGTGTACACACTTTTTTTGCTAGATACTGTACAATTAAATGCATTGCATGTTGTCATGATTGCATTAATAATAGTAATGATTGTGTACTTATGCCAATCTTCAGTGCATTCAGCAAAATACCTCAATGCATTTTTACAAGAAAAAAAAACTCAAACAAAAAGAACTAACAATCACTTCACTATAATAATAGTAAATCTTCAGTAACTCATGTTTGTAAACATGATGATGAAAACATTTTAATTAGAAACAAGGATGACTGAAGAATTTTGAAATGGTATGTATTTTCTAATTTAATTTTATTTTAAGTATAGATAAAATTAAAATATAGTTAAAAATGGTGAAATAGAATGTATTAGAACTACTCTAATATAGAATATAACATGTACATACCTTTGTAGTTCTGCATCATTCCAACTCAACAGTACTTTAGGTCTGCTATGGCCTGTGGTCAGTAGCTGAATAATTTCACAAAAGAAGTTAAACCATGATTGTTATTATTCCATTATTTAGTGTCTTTTTGTTATCTAAATTTGCATAGCATTCAACTTGGCTACTTAACACCTTCTTTTATTGGCCTTGGATTTTCAATTAGTTAAGACATTTCTATACCAGGTTTTGTGGACTCTACTATAGCTATTTACACATGTTTTTGTTAGGTATACAGTTAAATGCATGCATTACTGTAGCATGTTGTCATTATTAAAATAGGCTTTCTGAAAGTAGATTGATGATAAGGAAATCAAAGCTTGGAAGATGCAGGTAAGCACAGGTTCACATTTCTTGAATATCACAAATTGGATATGTTGGATATTTTTCCTAGAATATTCATGATCAAGGAATCAACGAATGAAAACGGACAAGTAGGCCTCTATGAACGAATCATATAGAGTGACGCAATAGCTTGGTGGTAGTTACTGTTTAAATTCCACACAAGGATTTTTCCCATGATAACAACAGCTTTTCCTAGCCTAAATGAGAAACACTATTTATATTATCCTGCATAGTGTAAAGTCTTCCCTCCCCCTTCCCTGTGTTGATTAAACAAATATAAATTATATTTGTTGTAAGATGGTATTTTTTTTTCTACTATAAATTTAATAAAATGTGCTATAATTTTGCGTAGCGGGAACGGTTTGGTTCCCAAAACCTACAGTAGAGGTCAGGGTTTCAATCCCTCTCTGTGCATTTCACTTGTGTCCTTGAGCATGGCACTTTATATGCATTGCTTCTCTTCACCCAGGAGTATAAATGGGTACCTGGTCGTTGCCTGCTACTGCGCCAATATGACAGCAACACTTAAGTATGTGGACCCAATGACCAGGGATAAACTTACAGCACTGCAAGGAAAGAAGCTATATAAGTAACAAATTACAAATGCATGTTATTTGTTACTTGTATAAGTAACAAGTAACAAATAACAAATGCATGTTGCTAAGTCTTCACTAGTCTAAAGAACCTACATAAAAATACTGTATACAGTTGAACGTGCCTAAGTCGACTTTGACTAACTCGAATAATTTTGAAGTTGATCTTATTTCACTTGCCAATTTGTTGTGTTTTCCATTAATTAACGATCTGTAAGTAAACTTTTATCTAAGTCAAACAATTTTTCAATTCAAGTTCAACTGGATTGAATGAATTGAAAAAAATGAAAAGATTAATTATTGTAGTGGTACTAATAGCTACCCATGGGTTCTTTATAATATCAGACTCTTGAATATTAATCTCATTATTCCCTGGCCAGTAATTTTTATCCTCAAATCTAAATTATTCAGTTTTTCCAATTAAATGGTAAGGTTCTATCTGCGCCCAAGCAAAGAAAGCACAGTACAGTGCTTCGCTAGAAACAACCATACAGGTAGGGTGGTTTTAGCTCAGTAGGTAGATAACCCCCAGGGTCAGTACCAGTTTGATTCCTGCGGTTACACATTTATTAATTAATTTTCATGATAATTTCTACCAGTTTTCTGATGGTGTAATTTAAGCTATAAGGATGTAGCTTGTTTGTAGAAAAGCTTTGGTTTGTTTATTTCAGAAAGAAGCTATTTCAGAATAATTGTTTGATTGTTTTTGTTCTTTTCTAAAAAAAAAATATGCGATGGTGTATAATTGGCTCTCAAGAATGAACATGTCCTTTGATTTCTTTCTTTTTTTGGTTTAAGCATGGACCTATTAAGTGGTTTAGGTGTGCGAAATTTGTTAAACATATTCTGTCTGGTATTTGTTGTCATTTAGATTTTCAGTTCATTGCTTTTAAACTTTGAGGTCAAGAAAGTTTGTGGTAATAGCTTAGTATTATTCACAAGTTCACATACTGTACAGTATTAGATTAAGTTGGTAAGGAAATTAATTGAATGCTTGGAGAAACTATTAAAGTCACAGTGCATAGCACCAATAAAATCTTAATACAATTTTTACAATGAGTCAGTTTGCTTTGTTTACATTGCATGATATTTGATAGTGTCTTGAAATTCTGTCATTATTATGTATTTAAATTGTTTAGTAATGGTAGATTAACCAAACATGGATGCACCATCTGTTTGTTAGTGTAATTATATTTTCAGGTCAACATTCTTGAACAAAAATACATAGTGGCACCTTAATGGATCGAAAATTTTAGGGGTGAAAAAATGGTTCAGTCTGGCAAGAAGTATAATAAATAATATGTACAGTCATTTTGTGTAAAAATGGGATCTGGTCTATTTATTATGTTTTGAAAACAATAAATCTAAAAATTACTGGAGCAGTCACTCTCTAGAGTGCATGACCTCCACCCTGTGCCTGAATACAGTACCAGCAATACACATACGGGTGTAATGGGCGATCAGCATACCCTCAATGAAATAATGGAATCTCTTGTGGTATTCAGGAACATTGTTTTCTTGAGTATTGCTTGAATTCGTGGGGCGATTCCATTATTTTCTTTTAGAATAAGCCAAGGTACTATTTGTAACATGCTGGCATAGGCAAATTTACGTTGTAAACATAATTAATACAACTCTTCCCAATATTAAGTTTATGAATTATTCATATAAAATTCCCAGGTCTTATATTATTCATATAAAAATCCCAGGTAAAATCGTCAGCAGGGTGAAAATTTGTCATAAATGGATCGTATTAGGAATGAATGCTTAAATGCATAATTTTTTTATGACTTAAATAGTAAAAATCATTGGAAAAAATGTTCATTAAAAAAGTTCAAAGTTGTTAACTCCCATTGGAGCACAGACCAAAATAATTTAAATTTCACTGCTTTTCACTGATGTTTTACTACAAAAATCATGACTGGAGTTATTTTTTTTTTGTTTTTCTTATTATAGGGCCCTGTGGACTTTGATGCTGATTGTCAACAAGAAACCAATAGCAAGCCCAGGAGTATAGTGACAAGGGTACTTGATCTACCCAAGAAGTTACGACGTCAACCGCCCCTGGTACAAACTGATCAAAATATGGCTGCTTCAAACAGGTGAGAACCACTGTTTTTTGTGGTAGAGGTGATGATGGTAAGAGTGAGTAGAGACAGCGATAATGATGATACGTGTAGCACTGTGTCAGATGTGATGAGTTTGTGTTTCGACAAAGGTGTGGATGGTGAGGATGGTTGAGTTTGAGTTCTGTCAGGGATAATGAGGGTGAGCATGAGTTGTAGCAGAGATGATGATGGCAAGTTGCGGCAGATGTAATGGTGATGAGCAAGCATTGGCTAAAGGTGGTGATGATAGTGAGGATGATTTGGTTTCAGTTCTGCAGAGGTAATGATGGTGAGCATGAGTTATAGCCGAGATGATGATGGTTAATTGAGGTAGATGTGATGGTAATGAGCAAGCATTGGTAATGGTGATGATGGTGAGAATGATTGTAAGTTCTGCAGAGGATATGATGTTGAGCATGAGTTGGAGCAGAGATGATGATAGTGAGGATGATTTTGATGTACGTTCTACAGAGGTGAAGAGGGTGATCATAAGGTATACTGTAGCAGAGATGATGGTGATTTGTGGCAAATTTGATTGTAATGAGCAAGCATTTTCAAAGGTGGTTGATGATAGTGAGGATGATTTTGGTTTAAGTTCTACAGAGGTGATGATGGTGAGCATGTGTTGTAGCAGAGATGAGCAAATATTTGCAAAAGTGATGATAGTGAGAATGATTTTAAGTTCTGTCGGAGGTGATGGCGGTGAGCATGAGATGTACAGTAGCACAGACGATGATGGTGAGTTGTGGCAGATGTGATTGAGCGAGTGTTTGTAAAGGTGATGAAGGTGAGCATGATTTTGCTTTTAGTTCTATCAGAGGTAATGCTGGTGAGAATGACCTGCAGCATAGGTGATGATAAAGAATTCAGTGTCAGAGGTGATGATAATGAGCATGGGTTGTGACTGGCGGTGATGGTAAGCATGAGTTGTGGTGGTGGTGGCTATGGTAAGCCTGAGTTTCAGTAGTGGTGGTGACCATATTGTGTTGGAGGTAATAAAATTAAGTATGTGTTGAGGCAGAAGTGATGGTGGAGTGCACGAGATGTGGCAGATATTTGGGACGATTGGTTTCGTTTATTGGGGAGAAAATGGTGATGAGGAAGATATACTGTAGTAGAAACAAATTATTTAATGAAACATTTTTGTTACATACATTGAATGCAACAGACTTGAGGAAGAGTTTTCCAGGCAAGTATATACTGTGTCAAATGAGTGTTGTGTTTTAGAATACAGGTCATGTCACAATTATATGTTTGAACCCTATGTTTTATCGGTTACTGGTTGCTGTTTTGTTGCTATGGCATATTTTTGTAGAAATTTCTAGTCACGCAAGGATGAGATTAGGTAGTTATTAATTGTGTTTCCGTTAAAAGTGACTATACTGTAGGATGCCTATGGCATTGCAGATGCTTCAATGTTTGTCATTTCGCAATACCAGTTGGTTGTTTTCCTCCCTCCCATCATTGTTTTAGTCTATTGTTTGCATGCAAATAGAGTTTTTCAAAACATGCCATTGTTTTACTGTACACACACATGCTTCATCTAGCAAGTTGTATTCCATTTCCAACATGTTCCATACTTTCATTAAGTTATGTGGTACTGCCCTGCTTTTCCATTTATATTATCACTAGTGCAGTATTTAATACTGTACTGTACTGTACATCTTGAAATTCAACTTTAACCCTTGAATCTGTTGAAGATTTAATCCCAACAAAGTCAATTCACTACAATAGTAGAATTATCTCCCTCCTCCAGATTCATTTGCCCTCTCCAGTGCATTCTGTGAAACCTTTGAAATGTTTTTTTTTTTTGCACTGTAATGATTGCAGCACTTACATGGTAGCACACTCTATCATCTTTTTGTTTCAACGGTCAGCAATTCTTACAGCATACGCTGTCAGAGTGTGACAAAAAAATTTAAAAATTATACACCATGCTTTTCCTTATCTCAACATCAACTGATGTTGAGAATATAAAGTAAGAACAAAATCATAAACAAAAATTATAAAATAAAAGCCAGGAAAAACAACTTAACGCTACTGAGATTTGAACCAGGGCTGCAATGGTATTGGTACTGTCTCTTATACACATCTAGATGTGTATAAGAGACAGAGCCTACAGTGGGATCGTGGCGATCAACCACAGAAGGCTGCACGCACTAGTGATCACAACATTAACGATGTGAATAGAATTAACGGAGTAAATTGAGGATTAACGCGACCAAAACATTTGTGCAAGCTCCCTAAGGGTGACATGGAGAGTTCTAACCGTAGGGCTATAAACCCGACCTTGTGAAGGAATGTCTGTTGATTTTAAGTCTCTACTTTGCATAAATTTTATAGGTAAAGGATGAAGAACTTAATGCATTTTATGGTAATTTTGTATTGACCTAGTTTGAAATGCTTTAGGTAGAAAATGCATATTGCATTAACATGTTCAGTTTACTAGTTTATTAATTATTATTTATAATGTATAGAATAACTCCATTTTTTAATGGTTTCATCGTTGTTCTTTACTTGGATGAAGTTTAAAGACCAAGCATAGAAAAGTATAGGGTCCCATGTGCAAAATCATAGGAAATGTTATAGAAGAAAGCAATAAGGAAAAAAAAAAAAAAACACTAGCTTTTCCACTGTTGTGGGAAAATTCCAAAACCAGGTATACAATTGATTTTTTTTTCCTTACATGTGAATAGTAGCCATTTCATTTTGCTATCTTTTTAAATCATAAAATTGATAATAGTAAAGTTGTATCATTAATAACAGTAATTCCACATAGTCGCACTGGGCTGCATGATGAAGATAACCATGGTTTGCTAAAATGCCTTGCAGGCCTGGATTAGTGAAATATTTGAAAAGGAAAATATTGCTGGTATCAATATTTGAGTTAAAAGTCAGTATGGAAAACATGAAAATACAAGCTTTTGCCATTTATGATGCAAAAACTGCTGATAGTAATGAGATTAAGAATTATTATGGAAGGTGAAAACTACAACTGTTGTTGGGATATTATGTCTCTTTAATCTTTTATGTTTTCTGTTTAATAAAATAATAAAGTATTTTGATGAAAAATATCCCTAATCCTAACAGTATTCAATGATAAATTGAATATTTGTCTTTTCAACAGCATGGCTCATTGGTCTTATCCAGTAGGTCTTCTTTTTAAGTTTAGCTGTTATTTACAAATGGAAATATTTCATGATATTCTAAATTAAAAATAGATACAAGATTCCTTAAAAAAAACCCCTTTACTACAATTTGTTATGATGTCTGGTACAACAGTGTTTTCAGATTTAGATATGGGGTTATCCCTTCCTGGGAGCAAAGAAAGTACTTCAGTGGGAACAACCATTTAGCAGAGTGTTGCAACAGTAATGCATTCTTGCATCTAATAGTCCATATTTTCTTTCCCCCACTCCACATAATTTCATTTTTTTCCCTAACGGATTGAAGCAATTGGGAAGGTATTATATTTTTAATGTTGTTCTTCTTGTCATGGTGGTGGTGATGTTGATGGTTGTAGAAAGATTGCTTAAATTTGCCTTGTAGATTGTAAAATGAAAATATGATGAAGGCTAGTAATATTGATACTATGTATAGTTACAATATTTACTCACATTTATAACACATTGTGTGATTCCTAGGAAAAAAACTTAAAATGTGGGGTAGATATACTGTTGATGGGAATCGTAAAAGGAATAATTAGTTTTTAATGTTTTCAAACATTTTCATTAACAATTTTTTTTCTGATTTCAGTTATGAAGGGAGTTATTCTTACTCCTCCTATGATCGCTTTGTTGCCCAGGAAAAGAATTCAAAATCTGTGGCAAGTAAAGTACAGAAGCAATATTGGAAGACCAAGCAAGCAATGATTAAGAAACTAGGCAAAAAAGAAGATGAGTTTGTGGTAGCTGGCGATGCTGAATTAGATGCTAAGCTTGATGTAAGCTGGCTCTTAAAAAATTACAGAATTTTAATATGTCATTATCACTATTATAATTATTATCGTCATACTAATTATCATTGCCCTGACAATGACATCTCCCAATTATGAACCTCCAGAATACTAATTTTCTGTTTTGCAAGCACAATTATAGTGCTGACGTTACAAAGCGTGAATAAGCGCCTCTCTTGAATAAGCGCCGCACAAAATGTGATTTTTTTTCACTGAGCGCTGCTCTCAAATGAACGCTGCAGCGCTTAATCGAGAATAAGTATTACCCTTTGTTTAATGGAACAGGGTTTTAAATACAATGTATACAGTGTTAAAATGAATATATAATACAATACAGACACAGGCATATCCGTAAACGCTTATTTATAATATCATTGAACCTATGATAGGCGGGATGATAGGCCTATAAACTTCAGGGATACGTGAGAGATAGGTAACATGAAAACTCGCGCTGTGCAAGTCGCTTGTGTTCTTGGGCAAGGCAGTTTATCTATGTTTGTCTCTCTCTACCCACATGTATAAATGGCTACCTGGTAGGATGTTGTGACATTGAAATGTATTAGTTTTGTGCGCTAAGCAAGTAGCGCACGACTAGGTATACTCCCCAGGGAGCAGAGAAGGTTGCACTTTGTGTGCTGGTTTACCATTGTATTTTATCCAGTCACCTTTGATCATATAATTTGGAATTGGCACAATATAAATATTCATGTGTTGTTATTATTCATTATGGGAACGGGCATGGAAAGCGCAACATCAATATTTTTTAAAAGAGCCGCTATTGAATAAGCGCTGCTCTTGAATAATGCCGCACTGAAGCCTCCAAAAATGTTATAAGTGCTGCAGCGCTTATTCAAGCATTTACGGTAAACAAGAAATAACAATCATTGGTAGATGAAATGTTTTCCAATCAGAGATGTGCATGATTGTCAAGGAGCACATGGCCAGGCATGGCGTGACTCACTGAGAGAATGCCTTTTTACACATTGGTGACGCTGTTGCAAGTGGATATGCAGTAAACAAATTTATGATCACTATAAAAGAAATGATAACAGTTTTCTTTCAATGATATTTTTTATTTGAAAATTATTTAAAAGGAATACTTCACAATAAGTACATTCAATTTTTACTTCTGTATTATTCTGCTGTAGAAAAATTAACATTGTATTTCATTTCAAGAAGTTTTCCTGACAACTTGGCTCCCATCGCCTCAATGCTTATATACTTATAGCCTTAATACTGCTTAGATACTATGGAAATATTTGAACTTACTAAAGTACAAAATTTTCCAATTAAAAACACTGCTCTGATGAATAATATGTAATTGGGAGATGTATTAAGCTGGGCACACCCTGCTTCCTATTACCTTCGGCAGACAAATCCATCTCCAAATTCTGTGAGAGCTTGACACCGTCTGGTAATTGTTGGTGGCAGATCATCATTAAGAACTATCTGTGGGAGATGCCTCACTGCATTGCTGTCTCCATGGAATTGCAACGACCGATGATTTTCGGCGCAGTATGGGCATGCTTTTATGATAATAACGTAATGTCATCATCTACTAGCACTTTTAATGATGATAAGCACCGTCTGAAACACATCACCACCATCAATTAAATAATAAATTGTTACATCATTACAACTTTCTAATCACAATTATGATAAATAGAAAGTATATTATAGTATTATATTTAAATTGTGTATTTTTTTTCAGTTAAACTAACAGATATGTATGTTTACAGTTTTTCAGCACAATCCAGAAAACATGTATGGACTTACTAAGGGTTATTGAAAAATATCAGGATAACATATGTTGTAAGTTTCTACCATATTATTTTTATAATCGTTAAAAAGCATCTAGTAGTATAGGTTGTCTTCATAACAACCATTCTGTGAAAATTTATATTGATGGTAGATAGAAACCTCTTGAATAACTTAAAAAGAAAGTCAGTATAGGATATCTTCAATGAGGTAGCAGTCCACAAGAAATATGTCTCAATTTACTTGTATACTTCCCTTTATGTTGTTTTATCCACCAAACTATCTGAACACTTGTTTACGTTGTGGTCCTTCTGGTGGTGAATTGGGTAGTACAGTGTGAGACAAGCCCCTATTCTTTTCTGAAGTGTTTACTCTGTTTTTTAACATGCACTTGGGCCATATTGTACATGGGACTAAGGCTTAACGTCTCATCCGAAAGTAATACATTTCTGCTCCGTTCCATTTGAAGCTCTGTCTCAAGAAGAGAACGCAATGGGACGGTTCTTGAAATCTCATAGCGGACATAACAAGACAAGAGCAGGGAAGATGATGGCAGCTGTGGGTAAAGCACAGAGCTCGGCATCTGAACAAAGGTAGGCCTAGCATCTTCACATCCTTGTCGTTAAGGTATTTTATACTTTCGTTAAATCTGTCTTTGTATGGCAAATATTATTAATGCCCTAAGCTGCCCCATAGTTTCTTTTTAAATGAATGGTTGTCATATTTACCAAATACCATAGCTCCTGTTTATTGTGCCCGGTTTACTGTATCCATTTTTGAATTGCCATACTGTAGGTGAACTGTACAGTATAATCATTTTTTTAAATACACATAGGACACCTGCATAGTTCCTTTTTAATGACCAATGGCCACCTGCATAACTCCTTTAATAACCAATGGCCACTTGTATAACTCGCTTTAATGTCCAATGACCACCTGCATTGCTGTGTTTTTAATGCCACGTCAACTGCATAGCCCCTTTCTTTAATGACCTCATTTCTAATGCCCTTTGGCCACCTGCATAGCTCCTTTTTAAATGCCCATTCTTCAGTTGCGTAGCTTTCTTTGTTTAAATTTCCATCCACTTTCCTTTTTTTAATGTTTTCGATATTTATTTTTTCATTTTCATAAAATTTTTTATTTGGGGTTATAAAGTGTATAAACAAAATCAGCTTTTAAATAAAGAAACAATTTCAAATTTATTAAATGAAATTATTCCAACATCTAAAGTTATTTCATTTTATTAATAACATCAGCATATTTTCCTTCATTTTTAATCTAATAGATTATCCTTGAGGGCGCCGCTAGTAAGATTATACCAAGAAGTGGAGACATTCCGTTATCGTGCTATCTCTGACACACTTATGACAATTAATAGGATGGAGGCTGCAAGGGTTGAATATCGCGCTGCTCTTCTATGGATGAAGGATGCTTCCAAAGAGCTAGACCCAGATACATATAAGCAACTAGAAAAATTTAGAAAGGTAAGTTAATGCAGAAGGGTTTTTCAACATTGCTTGATTCGGTCTAAAATAGTAATTATTTTAACAAAGTATAACAGTTTAATTATGTAAATGTGTATGGGCATGGTCCATGACTGCTGTAGCAACCGCAGAGAGGAGCTTAGTTTACATCATTCCACAACAACAGTGGCTGAAAAAAAACCATAGCATCAGGGGGTACTCTTCCGAAAGATGTAATGGGTTCTTCGAAGTGCATACAAGCCAGGTGTACACACTGGACCTCCTGTTTTTTAGGCTTCGGCCCAACCAACTCAACTCAACTATGGCAGAGGAGCGACTCGAACCTGCACTGATTTTTTCCTTTTGGGAGGTGAAAAAAAGAAACAAAAAGAAAAACAGAAAAAAAAATAATGATAGCCCAGAATGCCTCAAATGCTATTTTCGTGCGTCTAGATCACAAAAATTTTGCAGGGGCACACCCCGGACCCCCTAGGATAGTGTTTTCTCGATCGGCTCCCCCCCCCCTTTAGGACATCTCTGGATCCGCCCCTGGGGTCTGTCTTTGTTTGGAGGCATGCGACTGAGTGTGTTTTTACATAAATGAGTGATGGTTATGTAACTCAAATTATATGACTATTTTTTTCATAGAGTTTTTATAGTTTTAACAGAACCAAGTATTGTTACTTGTTTTGGAAATAGAATATTATACCTGGTTGCTTACAAATCAGACAAATCTCAATTTATGAAGTGAGCTCTCTATTGTTTCACATCAGGCAGATTAGTCTCCGCCACAGTGACACCAAACTGTTCATATGTTGTTTTAAATTATAATGTCTCACAAGGGAAAGATAGCATTGCTTTCTATTAGAATCATTGCGCATAAAAGCAATTATGTGAACTTAAGAATGACTTCTTTGTGAACCTTCCCATAGGACTTTAATCTAAACTAAATCAATAATTCAAATGAAACATCAAAGATTTGATATGATCGTTAAGAGGAAATTTAGTTGACCAAAATTTAAATTCACTATAGCTTTATCCATCAATCAACAATTTGATTAGGCCAGTTATGTTTGTTTGTGTGTTTTTGTTTCCTATGAATATCAGCATAGGAATCATAGTAATGGACTGAATGTATGTAATGCATGTGTGAGAGATATTGAGTTTGAAAACGAGCAAATTAAAAACTGAATTTTGTGTATTTAGTTTTGGGCATGTCATTGAACTTTTATGAATTGGTTTTTGTTGAGTATTAAAGTCTATAGCTTTGAAGTATAAGTTTAATAGAATAAATAATGTCAACTATGATGACATAATTATATGAGCTTTCCATCATTACAAGAAAAAATTGTCAGTATTTTTTGTGAATATATAAAATGTATGTTTTGTAGATATGTCAATATAAATTATAACAATAATTAGATTCAAACCACTCAACAATTTTAGGAACTTCTAGAATTATGACTTGAAATTACAGATTATATCAGTTTTTAATTTAGCTGTAATGTGAGAAAAAAAACAAACAAGAGCAACCGTTGAAATTATGAATTTATGTACCTAAATTCTGAGACATTTTCCTCTGTCTTTTTACATAATCATAATGCCTTTTCCAAGAGCTATGGCTAACTTCTGAACTCAATTTCTTTATGTTATATTATTTTTACCTAAGGATACTCTCTGATAAAATATTGAAAAATAACATTTCAACAAGTGAAGTTAAAATATTAGTCGTTATAATCTCCAATGAGCCCTAGTGTGTTTATCAGCCTGAGGCAGACTGACATTACTGGTCAAAGTCCAAGTCTCCTTTATTCATCCAAATCTGGAAATTACATTTGTAAAAATGGGCGGTTACGCCCCTTTCCCACCAGTTTTTAAATATTCAAAAATCTGTATCTCGTTCACCGTTTCCCAGTTTTTCATAATAATAATAATAATAATGTCATTTTGTTAGAAACAACTTTCTTTTTATCTTGGAAAAATCAGTTCTACAACATATCAAAAATTTGTTTTCCTTCAGAGTCTGACTTTAGGAATTGGCCAGTTGGTCCAGTAAGTAAGCAGCACTAGGGGCTAGTGGAGTGCTCACGTTTACAGATTACTATACCTCATAAATATTAATTAGGTAACCATATGACAACATTTCATTGGTAAATTCCACCTGGTTAGGGGTGCAATAGTGTTTAGTACTTCCCTTCATGTGCCCAATTTACACATGAAACTGCGTACAGTAATGTTACTCTCACTGATCGGAATGGCTATGGTAGATAGACGTTTGCTGTTCTAATTTTTATGATGTATAGTAAAACACGTACAACATGGTTTTTATTTAAGTAAAGCACTGAATTCTGCTTTCCAAGTTAGATGATTGGGAGGCACCTACTACACCTCAAACCATGTTGTATTATTATATTATTCAATACCATTTCTGAGCACATATATATGGATACAGTTTAATATTTTTAATATTATTTTTCATTTAATGTTAATCATCTCAATTATAATTTTTTCATTTAAAAATGGAGTCATACCCATGTGGCGCATGGGTCCGTGACCCAGTGAAAGCTAGGCCAGTCTACCAGTGTACTAGTCGATTTTTATGGAAATGCAAATAATACAAGAATTGAATTTGCATTTGTTACTTGAATGTCAAGGAAAATATTTTCATGTAAATATATTCATCAAGGTTACTGTAACCTAAATGTAGAAAGTATTAACCAATTCAAACACTGAATGTAGTATTCAACTTTATTTAGCTAAAAACAAACATTGACTTACCACAATGATGATGTGTGCTTATGCATATTTATAATTTTTTGAGCAAAAGAAACTGTTATATCATCTCAACTTATCAACAGTTATTTGCAAAATTATATAAAACTCTTGATCAAAATGAACCACTGAATAAGAACATGTACATGTATACATGTCTAGAATACATGTTGTACTTACCCAACATTTCACATAATTTTTGTACATTATTATTGATAAAAAATATTAGAATAAATCTTAACATGCATAAATTTTGTTAGGATCTAGAAATAACAGATTTCAGTCTGTGTTTTTAGACCTGATATAAATTTAGGTAGTTGGATAATAACATACCATATTTTATTGAATAAATTTCCTGCTTTGAATAAAAGCCTCCCTCGAATAAGCGCCCCATTCAGAGCCTCATTTGGAATAAACTTCTTCCTTGAATAGACGCCCAGTGCGTTTATTTCTTCTTGAATAAACGCCCCCTAAATGAGTGTAAACAAAACTAATGGAAGCAACATCATTCTCAACATATTCTACTTGTTAAATAAATTAGAAATATATGCAATAGGAATAATTTCCATGAATGATAGCATTCCTATAAAGAGTCATGTATGGTAGGATATGTAAACGAAAGTAGATATATCAGCCACTGCCCATGCTTTTATTAAATGATGTTTATTACATGCTATATCAACAATTAACATACGTTACCATGTGTTTAACATATGTTACTTTTCACAACATAGTATTCCTTTCAACTAGGCCTAAACTATTGCCTGAAATTTTCAATTTAAAATTTAAATACAAGTTACAAACTATTTTGTTAACTAAATATAGTCGAGACACAACCTATAATAAATACTTACCAAATTGCTTCACTTTAATGATGGCGTAGGACCAACATTCGAGGGAAACACAAAGTTGGTAAACACAAGGTTTTGGGTGTCAATTGCTCAATGCCCTCTATATTTCATTAATATGGATTAATATTTCATTAATATGGATTAATATTCCATAACGTAACATAGGTTACTGTAACGTACATTAACTTTCTAATTACAATTAGTAATTAAACATGATTACTTAACACAAATGATGATTTACTGACACTGTATCCATGATTATTACTTAACTACTTCTCACATTTAGTTTGCTTCAAATTCTTGTGGTGTATGAAGAAATCAGGTAACGTATGTTTCACTGCTTAAAATTACGTACATTTGACGACACGGTTAAACTTTACCATAACCAGTACTTCTCACGTTTAGTTTGGTTCAAATTCTTGAACTGGTATATGAAGAAATCAGGTAACATATGTTTCACTGCTTAAAAGTGACAATCAATATTTCAAGTTTAAGACCATATTTTGCATAGATGACTATTCTACTTTTCCGAACTAACAATACAGTATTCATAACATCTTATACTAAGCAAAAATTATTAATATTAGTTTTCCTGCAATAATATATGTTTTTCCTAGCAATTATGATTATGTAACATATACGTGCATTAGGCGACACAGATAAACTGTACCATAACCATACTAAACCCACCTCGATTTAAAAAACTTCAAAGTACAAATTGACAACCTTCCAACCAGCTTACAAATTGGTAACTATAAGCCCTGTGGTACACACGAATTTTGCATACTCATGACTATAAATATCGTCCTAACTCTGTTGTTAGTTATCAAAACTCCATGAAATTTGATACGCTTTTATAATATATTATGGCCTTTTGAATTTTGGTAACACTTTCCACATTATTATCATATTTTGTCATTTCAAGTTAGTGAACCATGGGCGACCGGGTTTGCACGATTATAGTGAGCCTGACCCTAATATGACCACAACATAAGGAAGACCACTCTGTAAATGTTTAGCATAAGGCCCTATAAAAAATATTATTAGTTTATCACCCTATCTGGGCAGGAAAAGTGATGAGGGAGGGAGGCTTTTTTTTTTTTTAATTTCTTATTTTGCTAGAGCCAAATATTACCCTTGGGTTGTTTGCTGGTGCATTGATATTCAAAGTAAAGCATGAATTAGATAATGCAAACAATATCTACTAACTATTTAATAAAATAAATGAAAAAAATAAATAAATAAAATAAAATTTTTTTTTTCCCCCAGTACCATAGAAGACATGCGCGCGGGGTGATAAACTAATAATTTTTTTATTGGGCCTAATATTGTACAGAGAATTTCGATTGTTTATCAATATCATCATGTTAGATCCAAATCACGTTTTATGCAAGCACC